ATATATATATTTTATTAATTTCAGTTTTTAAAATTGAATTTAAGTATATATAAATTAAAAAATTATAAAAAAATATACAATATTAAAATTACAAAAATATAATAAATATATTTTTTTAATAAAAATTTACTATTATTAGCTACTTATAAACATAAATTAATATTTCAAAAATACAGTCAAAATTAGATCTAAAATTTAGGAATCTATATTTTTAAAGAATTTAAATAAAAAAAAGATCTAAAGACTGCAGAGCCTCATCAAAATAGACAAAAGAAAGTTTATGTTTATGTTCTATTTTAGTCAACCAATCAATACATTATTTAGTTTCTCTCAAAACATGATCAAATTTAATAAACTTAATCCCTTTCAATAACTCTCTAATAGCATAAATAATAGAAAATATAGGATGTGCACAATAAAGGATATTGTCTCCTTTGAGTCACTTTCAATCTAAATGTGGTGGATATTCCTAGGAGTAACAAGCCTCAAACCCCAAAGTTCAACTATTAGGAGGAGCATAGGCGCAAAATTTTATGAAATCCAATAATAAATCTTTTATGGCTGTTTCGAATAAGTTCTTCACAACTAGAAGAACCATAAGTAAAGAAGATAGCTCTATCCACATTAAGCTTCAACTGAAAGTATAAAAGCGGCTGTCATTTAATGAAGCTCTCAGCATCTCTCCAACTAATTCCTGATTTATTACTGGACCTGCCATAGAAACTATAGTAGTTAAAATTTGATTTTATCTTAGAAAACAAAGTTTCATTGTTCAAGGAAGAATTATAAAAAAATTTCTTATTCCAGATCTCTTTAACAAACCAACAATCTCTTAGCACATGTATTTTGAGATAACATTTTTCACCATCAATGTTATTACACCCGAAACAAGAAGAACAAACAAACATTTTACAATGACATTTTTCAACATTTATAAGGAGACAACAATAGGTCACCTTCCTAAAGAAAACGTTTATTTTGGAGGGACATTTTCAGTGCTAGACCATGTTAAAAAGATTAAGTTGTACTCTCAAGTTTTGGAAAGAAAAGGAGATCAAGTTATAGGCTAATTTGACAAAGAAGATGCCATTAGCATTAAGTTTTGAGAAAAAGATATCTTGCCCTCCTGCAGGCATGCACAGGAGGATTTATATGAGCAATGAAGTCACAAATTTAAATAAGGAGCAATAATTTAATCATTTTTCAATCCTAGAAGCCATTATTATATAGCAAAATCACATGTTCCTTTCAATCTAGATTAGAGATCTGCTAAAGAGCAGAGTTATATATATTTTTTATATTTTAGTTTATGAATAATTTTATTTTTTAATATTCAAATTAAGTTTTTTTAATTTATAAAAAAATAACAAAAATATAAAATCTAAAATATACCAGTTATTTATACAAATTAACAAAGAAAAAATATAAAAATAATAAAATAAAAATTAAATTATTTAACTTTAATAAATAAATTTTCAAGTTTTATTTAAGCCTATACAGAGAAATTCAAGCTCGTACAACTCCCACTAATATGAAATATCCGTCAAGTTTAAAAGAACATTGTGTTTCATTTTATTAGATTTAATATGTTGAATTTTTTAACTAAAATATTATAAAATTTAAAACATTATTCTTACAAATACAAATAAGTTATATTAAAACAAATCATTTTAACAAAAAAAATTAAACAAGTACTTTTTTATTCAATACTTACCAATTCTTTTTTATTTATTAAAAAAATATACAGCTCGTTTTTTTTTAACAATTAGTATTTTATTTTTTAAACTATATTTTTTTTTCAAATTAATTTTAAACAACCGCACTGCAAGATCTGATTTTTATTTTTATTTTATGAAATAAATTGTTTTATATTTTTTCATATAATATCATTTTTTTAAGTAAGCTTTAATTTCTATATTTGAAACATCAATGAATTCTGCAAAATTCAAATATGTAACCGAAAAAATGCATACAATTATTCAATTTATGAATTTTTTAAATTATTTTATGCATTTTAACTTCAGAAAGTTTTATAAGGTTCAATTTTATTAAATTTCTGGATAAGACCTTTAAAAGTATAAAAATAAATAAATTTTATTTCATAAATTAAAAATATTTATATTTTTGAAATTTTAAAAAATAAAAAATTATTAAATTTTAATTTATTAATAATTTTGTCCAAATTAAACGTAAATGTAATTAGATTTAGATTTATACATTAATTAAGATACTGAAAAGATAATATAAACTAAAATAACAATTTTAGGTTTTGATTTTAAATTTTTTTTTAATTTATCGCATTAAAGGAATTGAATATAATAAGAAATGATAATTGAATGAAAGTTATAACGTTTAGGCAATTTTTTGGATATGTTAAAGCTAATTTACAAACTAAATATTTGGAATAAACTATAGGACTAATATAAATTGGATCTTGACATTAAAATAATTCAATTAAAAACTTCAACTTTAAGCTTTTAGAGATAATTTGTGGTTGACAATTATATAAAATGCTAAGAGAAACTACTATTCACTTTTGATGACAAATATCGGATTTGGACTTTCATTGAAATTCAATTTTTATAAATATAAGTAAGAAATATATAAAATAAAATAATGTTAATTTAATTGATGCACAATTATTTATTTGATAATAAAATAATATAAATTTAAATCTAAAACATATAGTTGAAATATTTAATTTTCAAATAGTTAAAAATTATATTAATTGATAGAATATTGTTTTAATTTGAATTTATAAACATTTGATTATACGTAATATTGATCGAAAAATAAAAAAAATTATTAAAAAATTAAGAAAACAATTTATTTCTGTTAATTGAATAATTATTTTAAGAACAAAAATATTAATTTGCTTTTATGTAAAATTAGAGGATATGTACTATAAAATAGAAAATCATGTAATTATATTAAAAAATATAGAAAATTTATCTTATTTTGTAAGTTAAAATTACAGAATGAAAAATAAATTCATATAGCATAAATGTTATCCCATCCAAAAGCAATGCATGCCAACACAATTCTTGGCGTAGAGTTTGCTAATAATTTGAGGATAAAATTTATGGTATACTTAAAAAATATCACAACTCTGATATTTTTTATTTTTTGAAAAATATAATTTTTAATGTGATTATATGTTAGTTATACATTACTGATAATATTTTAAAATTTAATAGATAATATTTTATATACTAAAGTATTGTATTTATATTGATATTTTTATTTTAAAATATATATTCTAAGATATATTACAATTTTAATTTTATTAATTTTGTCTCAAAGGAGATGGGAGGAAATTTTAATCTTAAAAATTCAAATTAAAATATTTTATTTATTAATTAAATAAACTCAATTTTATTCTAATTTTGTTGAAACTGGACGAAGTGAGATTTTATTAAAAAAATGACCAAACTTAAATTTCAAGTGGAATACTTCACAAATATAAAATAATATTATAATTATATGTATTAATATTAAATAATATTATAATAAAATTGAATTCTATAATTTTTAATAAAATTTTACATATAATTCATCATCTGTGAAATATTAAAAAAGTTAAAAAAATTGTTAAATAGAAGATTTAAATACGATAAAAATTGAAAATATTTTTGGCAAGAAGTAATAAATACAAATAAATATGGTAACTGTGGGTTGTAATTACGTGTATGATGGAGATGGTTCAGTATTAAAACAGCCACGTGTGTGGAAGGATAGCAATAAGCGATCCATCAATTTCCTTCTTTCTATAATGAGGTACACTACACTTCCAAGAACAAGAATAATACACTGAGCCAAAAGATCCTTCCACCAATCAAAACCAGAACCCTTCAAAGTGAAAACAAAACCCAACAAATAAGTACTTATTTGGAAAATGCATAAAATTATTTTTTTATTTAATATTATTTCAATAAAAATTTATATTTAAGATTATTCATTATTTAAAGATATATTTAAGCAGTGCTTGTCTATTTTTCAGAATTTATTTTTCTCAATATTTAATTATATTTAATAAATCTAAATTAATTTTATTAAACACTTTAAAACAAACCAACTTAGGTTTTAAGACAAAGAAAAAATCCCAAGTCCCATTCTTGTAAATATCAGGTACTCTGTTGGGCATTTGCATTGCATTGAGCAACCTTTTTAAAAAACCTAATCTTTACCTAGTTTGCAGGGTCCCACTTGTTTCCTATGTTTGCTCCCGGAACCAATTAGAATAAGAATAATATTAATTAATGCTTTAAAGATACTGATTAAAAAATATTATTGATACATATTTATTATTTTAATATACTTTTAACATAATTTTAGATAAATTTATAATCTTTTAATAAATATTTTTTTATGGAAATAAGTAAGTATATTTTAGATATTAATTAATAAGATGTTTAAAATAATTTATAAACACTGCACAGTTTTCTTAACTAAATAACATTACACTGATTAATAAGTCATTATAGTCTTAACAACTAGCCTATAAAAGATTGAATATTTTGTCAAGTTTGTTGCGCCAGTTGCCGTTGGAGTAATACAGACACGTTGACAAATTTACGCTATTTACATTTTACAACCATATTGTAACATTTTTAAAAAATATTACTGTTATGATATTTCATATTTAAAACAATAATAATAAATCTAATAATAAATTATCCATAATTGTGCTAATTATGAATTTTTAAAATAGTAATGCATGGCATTTTCGGTTACATTTAATAATACTTGATTTGATATATCTGTACCAAAAAGCAAGGGTGGTGGAGAGAATCTAGAAATGGGCATTTGTTTTGATATCCTCAAAAAGGCCGAAATAAATATATTAATATTTATTTATTTGTTTATAGAAATGGAAAAGAAAGAGAGAGAAGTGAAGAAAAAGCAGAGAATAAAAAGAGACCGGATGTTGACAAATTTCATGTCACTGTTCTTAGAAGGTCGTTTGTTTGTGAGAAGATTTCTTATCTGGGATCTCTCTCTTGCCATTTCTTATTTTATTTTATTTTTCTCTTTCTCTCTCTAAAAAAAGGAAAAGAAAATAAAGCTCTATTCTTTCTTCCCTCCCTGTGAGTCTGCGAGAGAGAAAGAGGAACAAGAGTGGCCCAGCAGATCGAAATCGATGATCTAAGCTTCTTCAATGTTGTTGCAGCAACACCCACTTCGCTCTTTCTCCTACAATTGTTGGTTTTCCCTACCCTTTTTCTTTTGCTTTCTATTTTAGTTCCGAGTCAAACACTTCATTTTTGTAGCGGATTCTTCAGAGCAGATGATAAGAGGATGTGGGTCTAAGGTAATTTTCCATTACTTTCTCAATTCTATCTATATTGATTATTATATTTTATTTGCTTTTATTATTTTATAACTAGTTTTTTTTTTGTAGTAAGTTGAAAACAAAATTCTGGGTTCTTATTGTTTGGGGGCTAATTTAACTGCCGGACTTTTTTTTTTTCATTTATTTATTTTACTTTTTATTTGTAGCTGAAATGTTCAGATGTCTCGGGTTAGTATTTTAAATTCAATTATATCCTTTGGTTTGTTAATTGTTGTATAGGATCTGCCTAATTCATGCTTGTCATTCATTTAGGTTCTCTCCCTCTTATACTTTTGGGTGTGTTTGTTAATATCTTTGTCTATAGTATAAAGAGTGAAATTTGTTGCATCCCTCTAATTACATTGGAGGACAACTGACATAGTTTTGTGAGGAGAAAATTAAGATTTTCTGTTATTTTATTTTCTCCTCCATTCCTTTGACTCAAAATTGGATTAAAGAACTTGAGTTCCCCAAGTATCAAGGAAGAATTTGGGATGCCCAGTTTATAGCAACTCCACTTCTCTATAGATTTTTTCATTCCAATGATAAGGTTATGTGTACTGATCAATGTTGAAGCCCATGGTGTGACCAGTTGGATTCTATTGTGTTCCATCAAGTTACTGACGACTATGCAAAGAAAACCCCGCTTTGTTGGTAGTTTACCTTAAATGTCAGTATTATGTTGGGAAGCCAGAAAATGTGATAAAAGAATTGATTCCTGATAAATCGCTGGCATACAAGTGATGGCTTGTTCAAATGTCAGAATTGATGACTGATTTTCTTGGTAAAATTTGTCAACAAAAAAATTATACGAATGTCCAGTGGGTATTTTATCCAATATTTGATGTTATGAAACATTCCGAAGTTGGCATATCAGGAGGCCATTTTTATGTTTTAATTTGTGCATTAATATAGTCTCGGTTTTTACCATATCTTTAGCAGTTTGGTTGGGGTAACTGGTCCTCACCCCGGCAATATCGGAAGCAATGTGATTTGTCAGTTTGTCATTTTATTAGAGGACAAAACTTAGGTGTAGTTAGTGTTTACTAATCAAAATTGAAGTTTTACTTTGAATAACATTAAATGCAAATATTTTATTTAAATAAAACTGAAATTTAGTTAGTAAACAAAACTAACAACACATAAATTTTGTTCTTTAATAAATTGGATCATTTTCTTGGAAGCCTAAAACATATCAGACTTCATTAATAGTTCACCTTCTATAAATGTGTGCATTTAGTGACTCGAATGTTTTGTACTTCTTTATCACCTTGCAACACCATAGTTTGGCTAATTTGGTGATGCCTTTACTTGTTGTGGTAGTCTTAAGTAGTACATGTTATGTCTTGGTAAAATTAGACAATGCAACCTTTGTTATGCAGCATCCTGCCGATACTTCTGAACAAAAGAGTTGTGAATTTAATAGGTAGTTAACATAGTTATGCCTTTTGAAAGTTAACCTATATGATAATTGGTATGACCTACATTATGCACAAATTTTTTAAGCAGCAACAGATGTTTTCTCCCTGCCATAAGGAGTAGTCATTAGATTCTTGTTGTACTCCACAAAACTTGGGTACATCATTATTGTCATGCATTTAATGCCTTTAAAGTGGTATCATACATGTGAATTGGGTGTTATGACACTGTCTAGTCAGCTCAATTTCCCATATCTTGAATTAAAAGGGAAAACGTTATACTCACATCCTTACATATGCATGAATGAGTTACAATGGGAACAAGCACAAGGGATGGAGTGAAGGGTGGAAAGGTTTATTACTAAAGGGATTTTCATATAAAAATTGGTTGGAGGGAGAAAGTAAGAGTTCAAGAGCTAGAGAAAAGTAAGTGACAGCTTGAAGATGTTGGCAACATTGGTTCTTTAGTGAGCATTTTTTATTTACATTTGAAACTAGTAAATAGTAGTTATGATTTAACAGTGAAATGCAAAAGACTCATAGAAAGTGGGCTGGACTTATCTATTAAGATTTTTCAATGGCATTGTAATGATAGAGTTTTCAAAAGCCTTTTCTTTTTCATTATGTAAAGCTGGCTGGAAAAAGTTGCATGGCTTAGATGGTGCTTGCATCTTGTTAAGTTTCTTTTTTATTCCCTGAATAAGATGGACTACTAAAAATTGAACAATAATATACTCATGGGAAAATAAGTTTACAAGTTTACTTAAATACTCTGATTAACCATACTGGAGTTGTGAAGATTCTATTTTGAAATTGAAGATTTAATTTCATTCATAATACACATAGACCAATGTACTTGAAGAGAAGTGGAAATCTTGTTAATCAATACTACTTTTTCTACTGAGAAGTCAAGTCCCCTTAATCATTCAAGCAAATTTAATTGATAAATTAAGGGGCAGAAACTGAAAATTTCTTGATGTGCAAGTATCTTTGCTAGCATGGTAAATGTCATGTCAATAAATCTGGATTTGAGTTATCTAATTATTTGGCCGTTTGTATGGATTGTGTTTGACTGTTTGTGGTATTTTATGCCATGCAACATTGGAAAATTAAACAAAGCTCATACCTTTTTAATGAGTTTGAAATAAATTAAGATATTGCATGGATTGTGTTGAATTTAGAGGAGGAGGAAGAGAGAAATAGAAACATGGATACTTTTGGCAAGAACCTCTGAGTGAGAATATTTATTATTTAGTAGAAATGTTGTACATCATAGGTTATGCAAGACATTCATATAGGCAGGCTCTTAATAGGCTTAGTGGAGATGATTTCCAGGCTAATATTAATTGAGTTTCCTAGACACTAATACCCATGGTTTTTAAATGTATTCTATCATGTGATACATAAACATACTATTTCCTAAGTGCATTAACTAATACTATTTTCAATGGGTTGAACTGGAAGCTGTGTATCAGTTAATTCATGATAGAAAACGCATTTAAATATAACTATATTCAATTTTCAGGGATGGGAACCAAAGTTCAGAGTCTGCCAGGATATTACTCAATGAGAGATCTTAATGAGGAATCCAGCAGTTGTGGCTGGCCCCTATTTTATGGAGATAAAACACTGGTAAATGGACAATATTATCATAATTATCTGTCAGGTGCTGCTGCAGATGTGTGTTCAGCATATGATAAGGATGTTGTAAAGCAGATGATGCTAGAGCATGAGGCCATATTTAAGAATCAGGTATGATGGTTCTTGTTCATTTCATCCCTTGGCCTGTAGCTTAAATAATGTCAATGGGAAAGATTTTGGGTGTTTCAGGATTAAGTCTTATAAATCAGTTGAAAAACAGAAGGCTTTTTGGGCTGTGAATGTTAATTTTCATGGTTCTTCAGAGCTGTTTTTAGTAAAATGGCTTTCTTCAATTGTTGCAATTATTGTTAAGTATTTACAGTAAGCTATCAACTCTAGTTTGTCATGATTGATTTCAACCAATTTCTAGATCTTCTTAGCAGCGGTATTGTTCAGATTGATTTCTTTTTGTACCCTTTGATTGGCAACCCATTGATATATTTAAATTATGTATTATCAATCAGGTCTTTGAACTCCACCGCTTATACAGAATACAAAGGGATTTGATGGATGAGGTTAAAATGAAAGATTTACAACGAAACCAGATATCTGTTGAGAGATCATTTTCCACAGGACCCACAGCATCTCAGATAACATCTGAAGATGGTAAAAAATGGCACATTCCTGGCTTTCCACTAATAGGAAGTTCTAATTGTGCTAGACCATCTATTTCAGGCATTGAGGGCATTCATTCACCTTTGGGTTCTAATAAAGGAATCAGTAAGCAAGGTGATCTCTTCCCTTCCCCTAATGGGAGTAGTTCAAAAGATGTTGAGATACTTGAGTCTAGACCCTCAAAGGTGAGACGAAAAATGTTTGACCTTCACCTCCCTGCTGATGAGTATGTTGATACTGAGGAAAATGAAAAGCGTAGTGATGAAAAGATAAATGGCACAACAAAATTTCTTCCTGATAGAATTTGTAAACATGAAAAGGGAGGTGATGTGAAGCTTTTCTGTGGCAATGGTGGGAAGACTGACAGCCAGGAAAATATTTCACGATCTGAGCAGCCTTTGAAGAGCAGAAATGGTTTGGCTGACTTAAATGAACCTGTTCATGGGGGTGACACAAATGATGTTGCACTTGTTTCTCCTCTGGACCATAATCCCTGTCAACGAGCAACTGAATGGTCTGATCTATCTGGCAAACAGAAGTCAAAGTTCTTTGGTTTGACCAAGGAAGATTTACTGAACTCACATCGTGGAACTGACAGTTGGGCTCAACATAATGGATATTTGGATAATGACAGGGGTGGGAAAATGTGGATTTCATCAATAGAGTCAGGTTTGATTTCTTATTGAGCTGCTTCAAATTTATATCCTAGAATTTTGCAAATTCTTTAGAAAAAGCATTTTCTTTCTATATCTTCTTCTGTTGGACCAAATCTTCCTTTTTATCTGGCAATAAACCAGGACTAATATTGACTTGATTATCTAATAAATTATGCCATAAAACCAAGTTTTCAATGATTGCAGGGCAAGCTAAAAGCAATCTGAAACCCATTCCTCAAGTCCTCAAACAAGAGCAATCACTTCTGTCTTCCCACACAATGCAAGATGCACTCAGAAAAGCTCATGAACCGTCATCTGATTATCTAAATAATCAAAGCAAGGCTGATTTGTGGAGGGAAATGACACCTAGTCGAATAGATATCAATGAGAGAAATCGTGAATTCTCTGATAATAAACGTCCAGAGTGTGTTGTATCATCACATAGGCCACTTTTTGCAATTGCTTCTTCCTCAGATTTAGGTAAATCTTGGTCTCACTCACCTTGGGAAATGACAATTAGCAGCCCAAACCAGAAGTTGATATCTGTACAGACACCTCCATCTCCATGTCTAAATGCATCTGGTGCCTTGAGTAGGAGTTCCCAGTCACATCAAAGCACTGGTATTTTTGGAGATGGTTGGCCTCTAAATATCAATTCAAAGCTTAATCAAGGTTTTCAATGTGAAGCATCTGGGCAGAATGGATTTTACTCCAGGACTTTATCTGGGTCCAAGGAACAATCAGTGAACAATTCTTCAATTAGCTATCTTAACAATAATGATTGCAAGAAATTTCCTGAACACTACAATGGTTTAGCAAACTACAAGAATTCAAATTTTAATTCACATTCCAAAGACATGAAGTCTGGAAAAGATATTAACTTGAATGAGTTACTTTCAAATGGTTCATCCAACAACATAGTTTCTCAGTCAAGGCTTGGAATCATGGATGGAGAACAGAAACGTGAGGAGCAGCTTGCAGTGTTGCCTTGGCTTAAAGCCAAGACAAAATGCAAGAACGAGGCACAAAATACTGGTAGAAGCTTAATTACCACAGATTTAAATTTCTTCCAAGGTAATTCTTTATCTAACAAAGATGAAACTGGAAAGGTGTGTAATGAAAACTTTATGCCCAAGGTAACTTCAGGTTTGTGTTCTAATGATGTTGAGCCAAGGAGGAAAGAAGTTAGTGAGAGCTCTAGTAAAAGGAAAATTCTTGGTGTTCCCATATTTGATATGCCTCATATTTTTGCTAAGGAATCATCTTCACTCACATCTCCCTCCGTGTCAGTTCCAATACCATCTGATGTAGAATTAGTGGAAAATAATCGGAAAAACCCAATACTTGATATTAACATGCCTTGTGATGCTGGTCCTGAGCTGGATGAACTAGCTATCACTGAAATCATTGTTTGTAAGAAAGGATTGTCTACAACAGAAGCCAACTCTAGAAACCAGATTGATCTGAACTTGAGCATGAGTGAGGATGAAGCATTTCTGACAACTATTCCAGCTACCAACCTAAAAAGGAAGGCAGAAATAGATCTTGAAGCCCCTGCTCTTCCTGAGACAGAGGAGGATGTTGTTGCTGATGAAAAGCAGCTTGAAACTCCTTTAGCATCACCACTAGTCCCACAAGACACAGTTGAAATGCCACAGGATGAACTTATGAGGTATGCGGCAGAGGCAATTGTTGTCTTGTCATCTTGCTGTGATCAAGTGGATGATGTGGTCAGCTGTCCATCAGAAAGCCCTGCTGTTGACCCATTAAGTTGGTTTGCTGATATTGTTTTCTCATGTGTGGATGTTCAGCAGAGAAAGGCTGATAATTCAAGGGAAAAAGCTGATGAGGATAATGAGGAATCTTCCTTAGAAGGAATGGATTACTTTGAGTCGATGACATTGAAGCTGATAGAGACCACGGAAGAAGACTACATGCCCAAGCCGCTTGTTCCAGAAAACTTCAAAGTTGAAGAAACTGGAACAACTACTTTACCTACTCGTACGCGAAGGGGTCCAGCAAGGAGAGGGAGGCAACGGAGGGACTTCCAAAGGGACATCCTTCCTGGCCTTACATCTTTATCCAGGCACGAAGTAACAGAAGATCTTCAGACATTTGGAGGGCTCATGAGAGCAACAGGTCATGCATGGTATACAGGATTAAACAGGAGAAACTCTTCTAGGAATGGGTGTGGCAGGGGTAGGCGGCGATCACAGCCACAAGTTGCCCCTTCTCCACCACCACCTCCTCTGTTGGCAACCATTGAAACATGTACTCCACTCATTCAGCAGCTTAATAACATTGAAGTGGGATTGGAAGATAGAAGCCTAACGGGTTGGGGCAAGACAACCAGAAGGCCCCGTAGACAGAGGTGCCCCGCAGGTAATCCTCCATCAATCCGGTTAATCTGATCACTGTAAGAGGCTTAAATTTATAGTTGAGAATTTATAGAGGGTAAGAACTAAGCAGGTCCATTTCCTTATTGATGGAACACATGATTTTCTATCTCAAGCACAGGAATTTCTCTTGTACATTTCTTCAAACCCGTATTTGGGTATATGCTTGATTTTCAGTCAGTCTTCTTGTGATAGCAACTTGTATTATTCTTAAATAATGTGGCATGATTTCTTCTTGGTCTCTAAGAACTGTTGAGGGTAGATATATATCAGTTTGTGCACTCTCATAGGACCATTTTTCTTAAATAATGTGGCATGATTTTTTCATTGCACTACGTATTAGGCTGCATGCTTGAATGAAATGGACCTTCATTTAATAGGACTTTAGCTTTCGATATGGTGGTAGATCTGTTTCTTTGATATGGATATGTATGAGGTTTTCCCCTTAATCAAAGTTCTTCAGCGGCGAATCCAAAGATTTTCCATGTCTGCTTTGCAATCATCCTACTAGTATTCTTTTCATGTAAAAGAAGAAAATTCAACAGATGTAATTTTTACGTAGATACCCCTTGTAATATGTATTCTCATCAATAGCTAATGTGTACAAAAACGTGTTTTTTCACCGAGTGCATTTCTAACATAGCTTACACAATCTTTGATGTTAACTATTAATTTGAGTATTTATCATGCACCATGAATATTTGAGAATTTATTTTTGTGTTTTTCTGGAAGTCATTGATCTGACATAATGTCCATAAACTCGAAATTATTGAAGTGCATTGGGTTGACCAAGGTATCTCTATCCTGAGAAGCATGCCATCAGCAGGGTGGCTTGGAAATCTTCAAGTTTGAGTTTTGTCACGGTGAGGAGGGTACATGTGTTGCTTTTCTATCGAAAGGGAAGTTATCTTTTAACTTCTATTTCCACTACCACTCTTTTTCATTTTCATTTTGAAATTTAAAAATTATTTCTAAATATCAAAATCTAATCAAACATGTTGTTTAATTTATCCAAGGATGCAATAATAATATTATTGAAAATTTCATTTTTTTAAATGTAATAATATACTTTAAACTAATGTCGCCTAAGAAATTAGATATTGTATGCAAGAGTAATTACTGATAAAAAAAATAGCCACTGTATATTTACTCTTTTCAGTACATCATTGAAATTTAATTTAAGTTAAGCCATGTAAAGTAATATATATTTTTTTATATTAAGTTTCATTGAACTACTATTTTTTTGAATTATGAATGGTGATTAAGGTGATTAGTAATAAAAATGTATTTCGTGCCTTTACTCATATTTGAATCCTAAAGTGAAATCTAAGCCCTTGTTTGGTTGGACCGTGTGTTTTAAAGTTTTGAAAATTTTAAAATGTTGTAATATTCGTTGTTTTTTGAAAAGCATTATATATTTGAGACATAAGGAACTTTAATTTTTAGTTATTTTTAATATTTAATATTTTCTTCTATAACAAAAAAAAGAATTTAAAAAGTATTAAGATCAAATATTATCGCAAAAAAGTTAATAAAATACTTCATTTAATGTTTATAAAAAGTATGACCATAATTTAAATATAATTCTTATGCTAAAATTGAACATACAAAATATTAATTTGAAAAATAAATTATCTCATAGATAATAATAATTGATGGCTATATTTTATGTTTATTTATTTTCTGATAAAAAATAAAATTGAAAGAATTGATATTTTATTTCTCAAACACACAGCTTGTATGAGAAAGACATTTTGATGAGTTAACGCGAAAGGAATGCGATGTGTGGACAGGTGGAGAGGAAGCATATTATTGATGGTGTCATTGTGAAAGTGAGAGGAGAGACCCTTCACAGTTCTGTCTTCTTCTCTGCCATTCCTTCCTCGCCACACACTCAGATAAATACACTAATTAATACTTATCATTATCATTATTATGTTACATATTAAGAGCAAATGATGCGGCTTCTATTAATGTCATTAGATAAAGCAAAAATGCATCATCATATAGAAACTAAAAAGAAAAACAAAGAGAAAAAGATAAACTAATTTGCTTGTAGTCTTCAACATCTGAGTTGAAAGCATAATGCAACTTCTTATAACCTCTATAGGTGTAGGTAAATGGTAAACAAAAGAAAGTTTATATGAAGGAAGAAGGTAAATGGTAAACAAAATTAAGTTTATATACTGTATGAGAAAGAGAAGGAAGAGGAATTTGATTTTAGAGTGAGAAGAATAAGATAGAGAGGAGAAGGTGTAAGGTAAGAAAGAAGTTTTAAGAAGCATGCATTTTGAAATTGTAATTGCATCACCATTGTGACACACACATACACTCAATATTTTAGACCCGTAAAGTGTATTTTAGAGAAAGAAAGAAAAAGAACACAACTTTTATTATTAATAAATATTTATAATTTAATATTTTTATAAACAAACTTAAATAATAAATTCAAACACTATGAGAAAGGATGCATTGGCATACACATTACACCAAAAAGCAAAAACATGAGAGTCCTAAGTGTGACCCCAAAACCTCTTCTTCTACATCAACTTGAAAGCAGGGTCTTACACATGCAGAACCATGCACCCACATTCTATCTCTCTCACCTCTGCACAAACATGGAGACACTGAAGAAACTCCACGCTTCCCTCCTCATTCAGGGCCTCACCTCAAACATCTTCACCAACACCAAACTACTCTCTCTCTACGCATCCTTCGGTCTCATCAACGACGCTCGAACCCTCTTCAACCATTTCCCCTCCAACGACTTCTACTCCTTCAAACTCATGCTCCGCTCCTACTTCCTCAACGACATGCACTCCCACGTCGTTTCGTTCTACCATCTCATGCGCCTCTCCCTCCCCTTCCCCTTCCCCCACCCCCACCACGCTCTCCTCTTCTCCGTCGTTCTCAAATCCTCCTCCCACTTACGCGATCTCGTTCAAGGAACCATACTCCACTGCCACGTCATCAAAACCATCCCCCCCGATAGCTTCGTTCTCACGTGCCTTGTCGACGTCTACTCCAAATGCGGACGCGTTCGCTGTGCGCGTCGAGCGTTCGACGAAATACCTGACCCAAATGTCGTTTCGTGGACTTCTATGATCGTCGCGTACGTGCAAAACGACTGCGCGCGTGAAGGGTTGAGCTTGTTTAATGCGATGCGTGAAGGGTTTGTTGATGGGAATGAGTTCACTGTTGGGAGCTTGGTCACTGCTTGCACCAAATTGGGGTTTTTGCATCAGGGGAAGTGGGTTCATGGGTTTGTTATTAAGAATGGGATTGAGCTCAATTCGGTTTTGGCGACGTCGATTTTGAATTTGTACGTCAAGTGTGGGGATGTTGAGGATGCACGCGCCGTGTTTGACGAGCTTTCTGTTAATGATGATCTTGTTTCGTGGACGGCGATGATTGTGGGGTATAGTCAGAGAGGTTATCCACATTTGGCGTTGGAATTGTTCACTGATGAGAAGTGGTCGGGGATTTTGCCTAATTCGGTTACAGTTGCGAGTTTGTTATCTGCGTGTGGACAATTGGGAAATGCTGTTGTGGGAAAGTCGCTTCATGGTCTGGTGATTAAGTGTGGATTGGATGATAGTTCTTTGAGGAATGCTCTTGTTGATATGTATGCAAAGTGTGGGGCTGTTTTGGAGGCACTTTATGTGTTTGAAATGACTGAGGAGAAGGATGTTGTATCTTGGAATTCGATTATTTCTGGTTGTGCTCAGAGTGGTTTTGCGAGTGAGGCTCTTGAGATCTTTCGAAGGATGAGATTAGAATCGTTTGAGCCTGATGCAGTTACTCTGGTGGGTGTTCTCTTGGCGTGTGCTTCCCTTGGTGCTCTTCACTTTGGTTGTTCTGTTCATGCTTTCTCTTTGAAGAATGGCCTGGTGTGGTCTAGTGTCTATGTTGGGACTGCGCTGCTGAATTTTTATGCAAAATGTGGGGATGCAAAATCGGCTAGGATGGTGTTTGATGGGATGGGGGAGAGGAATACTGTGACGTGGAGTGCAATGATTGGTGGGTATGGCATGCAAGGTGATGGCAGTGGATCTCTTGCGCTTTTCAGAGATATGCTGAAAGCGGAACTTGTTCCTAATGAAGTTGTATTTACAACTATATTAGCAGCTTGCAGCCATTCGGGAATGGTTGGAGAAGGGTCGAGGTTGTTTAATTTGATGTGTCGAGAGTTGAATTTTGTTCCTTCCATGAAGCACTATGCGTGCATGGTTGATCTGTTGGCCCGTGCTGGCAACCTTGAAGAGGCATTGGACTTCATTGAAAAAATGCCTGTTCAACCTAGTGTTAGTGTGTTTGGAGCTTTTCTCCATGGATGTGGACTTCATTCAAGGTTTGAATTGGGAGAAGTGGCAATTAAGAGAATGTTGGAGTTGCACCCTGATCAAGCTTGTTACTATGTGCTTGTGTCAAACCTGTATGCTTCAGATGGAAGATGGGGCTTGGTTAAGCAGGTGAGAGAGATGATAAAGCAAAGAGGATTGAACAAGGTCCCTGGTTGTAGTTTAGTGGAGATGGATCTCAACAATGATACATATCCCAAAGTGGCAGTTCTATCTTAAATTACGCAAGTCTAGGTTCACAACACAGTGATGGTTAAGTTAAAACACCTGCTCAAACAGTGGCCCACAGATAGTTCATGAGCTTGTGCCCATTAGCCCCATCTTATCTAGTATCACCATTAGATCCATAAGACACGGTTGACAGCTTCAGGAGCAGAGGGAAATATTGCCTTGTCATCTTCATGCTGCAATCAGGTGGATGGTGGAATCAGTTCCGCAGTCCGAAGTTGGATTGAGGTTGTGGATGAGCTGCGGGAAAAGTTTGATAATTCAAAGGAAAAAGATGGCGAGGATAATGAGGAGTCTTCCTCAGAATGATTTTTTCCCCCCGAAGTTGCTTCAAGTTGCAGCCATTGAAATTGACAAAGACCAAAGAAGACTATTGACCCCATTTTCATGTTCCAGAACTGTTGAGATATATGCTTGTTTGTGGACTCACTGTCATGAATTTTTCCTCCCGAATTTTTAGTTAAAATGGGAATTAGGTTGCATGCTTGAATGAATTGAACCTCCATCCAGTTGGACTCTTAGCTCTCATGACATGGTGGTAGATTTGTTCCTGAATCACAGTTCTTCACTCATGTTACCTAGATTTTCGGGTTCTGCTTTGTAATTATCAAGGAAGCATAGATGCTCAGTATAAATAAGTTTCCTATTAAATTGTAATTATCTACTATACTAGTGGATTTTTTTTTTCCTGAAATAAATCAATAGATGTAATTTGTTTATTAGGGAGACGGGGTAGCAGAGGAAAATCAACTTGTTTCTAGGAGTAAAATACACGCAATTATATGCACTTCATTCATCAATATGTGACGTGCATAAAATGTTTAGAAAGAGGTGCACCTATTTTTAACCAAAAATATTTAAATTTTATAATAATTATTAAAGTAATAAAAACTATTCATTGGTGTGAAATTGCTTTGGACATGTGATATGTGATGTTGAAAAAAATACATCAAGCATGTAACTTGAAGTGAAAGACGTAACACATACTTTACTGTCATGTGCCACACTACATTTTCGGATTGATCATAGAGAAATTCACTATATTTTGGGCAATCTTCAACCTGTTTGGATACCATGAATACCCAAGACAGCTCTTGCACCTAGCCACACCACCAGACATTTTTGTTTCTCTGCCTGTACCTGAGTGCTCTATGGATGAGGGAATGATTCCCATGAAGACTCTTCGCTGTCGTACCAGCTCTCTTCGTTGTCATAAAATCACATGAAATGTTACAGCTAGCGATAACCAAACTAGAGCATTAGTTTGGTAGTTGGTACCACGGGGAACGCTGAACAGTGGCAAAAATCGATGATGCAATGAGAAGAACGAAAGTCATCAAAGCCTAATTTTATTCAATACAGATCCCTTGAATGTACAATTAAAATGAAGGCAACCAACTAGCTTCCACAATCAATTTTACATCTATGCATAGCTTCATATACATACAGATAAACTTATCAATGCTTTTCAACAAAAGAATGCTTCCATACACATTTCAAACTCATAGAAGCCCTTTTGCCGTTACCAGCGACAGTAAGGGCAAGGGAAATAATGAAGAAATTACAGAAAATGATCCTCTTTTATCAGCTAATGATAGAACAGCACGTATCATGGTCTGTTATACACATATTTTGTTCTGGGATCCACAATGAGACCTGTCCCTCCATTCACTTCCAAGTCATGCCTGTGAATAGAAGTACGGAACAAATTAGTGCCATCTCTAGGATCAAAAAGTAAATTTACTATAAGGAGATAGGTACAGCAATAAAAATGGATGCAACACAAAAGATGAAAGAATTCTTGAATCAGCATCGCTCACCAACCAGTGAGGATACCTTATTTAGAATAGGGCATTCCTAAAATGCAAGAACAGCTTCAATTCCAAATATTTTCAGAAACAATACATTGAAATTTGAAAATGAAACATTGTACATAATAACATCATGAAAACGAATATTGATGACATCATGTGAAACATTACACTCAACTGAAAGACAAAATCTGGGATGGTCAACTGTTCACGAGGCACGTATTTGAAGAGTTGCAGGAGTCGATCAACATATACCACTTTCTTCCAAACCTGAAAGTAAACTTTTAATAACACAAAAATATACATACACATACGGGTTGGTTAAATAGGTTGTAGACCATACCACATTGTCAATAAACAACTGAAGGGCAAATATTGCTGCTTTTAGTCCAAAAGTTGGGTGAAGGACATATATTGCCTACACATCAGATTGAGAAATCAAAAGACTTCAACAGCGCAATGCATCAGAACAATAGAAATATTGAATAAATCTGCCAAATGAGAGAAAAAAATAGAGAGAGAGAGATAAGGAAATAAACAGTACATACATGTAGGTTGCTCTGGTGCTTCCGACCAAGTATTTGTTGCAATCTTCTCATCCAACCCAGGTCTGGCTGCCTAATTATATCAAACCAGGACAGATAAAAGTAAAATTAAACTTTGTCAACAAAGCCAAAACCAAACCATCAGCATTGCACAGAAATCAGGAGCAATCAATAATTGCAAACTATACACAAAAGTTTCCTAAGCAACTTGCTTATGTAAAATATTCTCGACCCACCTTCAAAATCTACTATCTTTCATTCAAGTATGCTTCACGCCAGTGGCACAACTTCAATTCATTTTAACACAATTTATCCAAAAAAGGGGTCCTCTTATGTGTTGCTTCATAAAAGCCTACCACTCAAAGGAACATCTGCCCTCAGCAAATAATGCATTTAACAACTAAAGCATCCTCAACAAAGCAGCATATATTCAAATCACATTGAATCAAACCAAAGGGTTGCTCAACTTTAATATTTGGCTACGTATTTTAGTTTTAGTAGCATGAAAAATATTGCAGAATTAGTCCCAGCAAAGTATATAACTAAAATTAGTTAAATGGCTTTGTGATGCCACACCATGCATGCACAAAGCCAATGACCAAGCAGATGTTTCGAGCAACTATGCAAAGTACTCCCAGTATAATGTTGTAAGTTTGGTAACCAAAATACTATTGCAGAAGCATAAAACAAAAATGTTCAGTCACATTTTCCATATATTGACTGTTGATTCTGTGTTCCCTTTCTTCTAATTGAATAGGAGTGGGTTACCAATTACCAAAACTTTGGCTACAGGACTATTTCAATTAAATTGACAAAGTAATCACATAATTCACACAAAATAACCAGTTGGAAAAGGAAGTTTAACAATTAGCTCATTCCCCATGAACATTCCTGAAATATTTTGCAATGATTAGCATATGGAAAACCTCTGTTTCATGAAAAAATAATAGACCCTAATTTCAAACATATACTTACATCTGCAAAGATGCGGCAGAGTGGAAGTAGACAATAGTAAAAGGCTTCTGTATTATAGGCTCAAACTCCTAAAATTTAAAACCAAGGGAAATGAAAAGACAGATTAGAATTCATGAACACAAATCAATTTTGGCTTCTAAGTATGCATTGCCAACATCCTGAAGATAAAAAATTATAATAGCCTAACTAAGTTACGGACAGTAAAATATGTACAGCAGAAAGGTATAAATGAATCACCTTCACTACATGGAGCACAAAGCGCTCCAGATCAAGACACCTGAGCAAAAAGTGGGCCCCCACAACAACCATAACAGGATGACCCTCACTGTCTACCCCTCCACGATAGCTGACAAACATAAAATACCTCAAGAGATTAAATGCTTCAATATAAACCCTTCAAAGATCAATCTGAACACATACATGAAGCATATGCATTGATTAGCTAAGAGTAACAAGCATGTCAGAAATTTCAAAAACATAAAACTCCATCATTATTTCAATTATGATTGACTCTGATAAGAGGAATTAAATCCTATCCAGAAATATTATTTTTATTTCCTTTTCCACAAGAGACTTGCAATGATCACAAAAACAATCTGACCATTAAATATTAATTAATGCATTGCAAAAATTCTTATATTATTTGATAAAATAGCCAAAACAGATAAAAGGAAATTTACAACCTAAGTTAAGATTTTCCCTTGCAAAACATTGCCAATTAAAACAATTCATTCATCCTAGCATAAAACTACGTGTAAGTCCCCAATTAATGTTAGAACTCAATATGTATGCAAAACCAATGATTATATAGATGGATACTTACACAATTTTCATTTCTGCGATTTCAGAAAGATTTAAAGAATTTGCTTTAGACAGATATCTAGAGTGAAGAGAATATTCTTCTGCAGCAGACAACGGAGGTCCACCAAGGTCACCATATCCAAGCAATTTCGCACAATTCCAGCCTCTTTGTGCTTCAGCAGTTTTCTCCCACTGCTCCAGACGCCTTTGATCAGGGTCTTTAATCATGGACATGAAGGCAGGATCCAAAAATGAATCTAAATAGGAAGAATTCCTATAAAAGCCATATGGACCAGGAAAATTCTACCAGAAGTTAGATTGAAAAATGGATTGCATTCTGTTTAATCAAATACAAGAAAAACAATCAAGCCAATACAACTTCCTGCAATAAAATGAACCTAAATCTGCTTAGACACAGATTTTTAAAATATGGTGAAACATAGAAAGCTTGAATAGTATGGACAGAAAATGTTAATATTATATGGTTGAATAAACCAATATCTGTATTTGCTGAGATTGATTATGTTCATCCTCGTTTTTTTTTTTCATACAAAACACAGTGAGAAATGTAGAAGGAAATCAAAGGATTAAACAACAACAACCAAGTTTTATCCCACTAAGTAAGATTGGCTAGCTAATCAAAAGGTCTCTTTTGATAATTTTATCTAAGGTTAAAAGTCTCTTTTAATTATTTCACCTAAGGTTGTTTTGAATGTCCCTTGACCTCTTTCCGTCAGACTAAAAGTTATGCAATTCACTCTTCCCACTAATGCCTCCAAAGATCTTCTTTACATGTGATCAAACTGCCTTAGCAGATTGCAGTCATTTTTTCTATTATAGGTGCTACTTTAATATACTCACGTATACTATCATTTCTTATTTTATCCTTTTTCATGCGATCACTCATCTACCTTAACATACTCATTTCTGTTGGTCCCACTTTCTTTTTGTGTTGTTCTTTTAAGACCTAACATTCACTGTCATATAAGATATCTAGTCATATTGTAGTACGATAAAACTTTCTTTTCAACTTGATAGGCATTAAAGGAATATTAAAAATTTCAAATATTATTGACCTGTGAGCCATGCCAACGTCACTAACAAGAGGGTCAACTAGCAGTTCAGGAGGTCTTGAAACACTCTTTTTGGGTAAAGGCTTTATTCTGATTTTACGCTCATCTATGATCGTCTCACCATTTTCATCCCCAACATCTGCAGGAAGTTTTGACAATGCGACCTGCTCCTCATGTTTATCTCGAGGAAAGTAAAGTGGAAGCAACCTTCATGAAATAACACAAGGTAAAAGCAATTAAATAATACAATTTATGAAGTATAAAGGGTAGGTTGAAAAGAAAAACAACCAAACTTGTGAAACTGTTGGAAGTTCTTGATACTCAAAATATAAACAGAAACAAATGCTTAAACTACCTTTTATATATCTCAGTATCGGTTGTGCTCACAGTGCAAAAGACAACAGCCGTGATGTTGTCTTTCTGCTTCTCAAGAAATCGTCGCACCGTTCCTGAATAAAAGACATAACAAAAGGTTTTAGCCTAACATTAGTATATCATCCTTCAAACATCTAAAAGCAATCATTAACTTGACACAGAAATCATACTCTATATACTAGATGCCTCGGCAGGGATGTGATAAAATAACCTGAGGTCATTGGAAATTGTACATTATAATAGAATTATGATTTATGAAAAAAATAAAAAGATGTGTCAACATGCATTTCATTTTCCCAGTCAAGCTGCTCCTGTTGACCGTTCATCATTAATCTAAACACAAATGACATGTTAATATAGAAGATCAAATTATGCAAACAGCAGGAAATTGATAGACAACTCAAAGAGTCAACAACTCATTTCCCTGGTCATTGACATTAGTGGTTTCTGTTTTACATATGGATGGAACACCATTGAAAGACTAACAATAATCCTCAAAAGTAAGGAAGCAAGTTCCATGACATTGCCAAAGTTAACCTAAATAATATAGCAAGTCACACAATAGTGCAAGAAACAAATTGAGAAAACAAAAAGTTAAATCATGCAAACAAAATCTCACTTATAGCTACATGTGCTGCTGGTTCTCGGGGATAGTTCTTTGCCTCTGTATAAATGCAACCCATTGCAATGCTACATAAATATATGCAATAAGAAGTAAGTCGTGGATTTTTAAATAACACGAGATTCCCAAAAACAATAAATATAGCATGAAAATAAACAATATAACATGGAGATGGGTGGAACCTTTGAAGCCCATTTTCAACTAGAAGCTCCAGGCAAGAGCGATAGCAATGACTTAAAGCATTTTCTGCAGCAGTATGGTACTTCACAGCATACTTGGGACCAACAGTATGGATAATTCTCCTGTGGGTAATTTATCAAAGAATAAAACAAGGATTACAAAGAATGCAGATTGTAGACAAGAAATACAAATAAAGATAAGTCAGTAACAAAGCATAAGGAAAGTAGAATGCCTCAGCATGAGTTCTGCAGCATGACATATGATAAACAGATCTCAGATCAAAACCACAGGAAAAGAAAAAGCATGGGCATACAAACATTTAAAAATAATATACAAATCCATGCTCAAAAATCACCATCTAAAGGAGACAAAGTGATAGAAACAACCCAAGAAACATCAAGAAAATGTCTGGTACTAAGGAAATCAGAAAAAGACAAATGCAGTAACAAGAATGGAAAAATGGAGCACTAAGCAGCTCCTATGCTCCAAGTCCTAATTCAGAAAAATCCCCCTTCTCCCTCCCACTAGCCAACAATTATACCTTTTTCTCATAATAGAATATTTGTTAATCATTTTTGCCTCACCCATCAGCAAGACACACACACACACGTCTTCACAATTAGTTAGGATTGGGCCCACTTGGATCACACCCCTCTCCCAACTTATTGTTTCCCAAGTTGCCCCTGAATTTCCTTCTTTTATACACTTTTATTCCATCCGGAATTTGATCACTAATAATACCCCCCTCTTGAACTACCACCTTATCCTCAAGGTGGAAGTGAGGGAAGCTAAGTTGGATGTCAACTGCTAGTTCCCATGAGCTCTCAAACTCTAGCATATCTTTCCACTGAATCAGAACTTCCAATCCTCCTTGGGGGTTTCTTCTTGCTGCCATCACTTCAGCTGGCTGTAACTTCAGCTCCCAGTCTTCTGCAAGACCCACTGGGAGAGGTTGGCTCTTGATATTGGGGGCTATACATTTCTTGAGTAAGGAAACATGAAAAACTGGGTGTATCATGGATTCAGCAGGTAGTTTAAGTTTATACGCCACCTTTCCAATTCTCTCCAGCACTTCAAAAGGTCCATAGTACCTTGGGCTAAGTTTCTGATTAACAAGGTTGGCCAAGAAATGCAGCCTATAAGGTTGGATCTTTAAATAGACCTTCTCTCCTACTGCAAATTCCACATCCCTTCTTTTCTGGTTGGCCTGATTCTTCATGCAAACTTGAGCCCTATCTAGTTGCCATTTGAGCTCATCTAAAATGGCATTTCTTTCAGCCAACAGGTGGTTCACTTCCTCCACTGTGAATGGGGCTACATCTCCCTTGATCAATGGGAGTAGTCCCCTCCCATATAAACTCTTGAATGGACAAGTATTTGTGGCTGAACTGTAGGTGTTGTTATACCATAATTCAGCCCAACATAATCACTTTGGCCACTGCTTTGGCTTGGTTCCTTCAAAACACCTTAGGTATGTCTCCAAACACCTATTGACTACCTCCATCTGCTTATCCGTTTGTGGATAGTACGCAGAACTAAATTTCAATTTAGTTCCTGCCTACTTAAATAATTCAGCCTAGAAAGTGCTCATAAAAATCCGGTCACAATTAGTGACTATTGATTGCGGAAATCCATGTAGTCGCACCACCTCCTTCACAAAAATGCTAGCAATGTCCGAATAAGGGTGCAAAATGCTAACAAAATGGGAGTATTTAGTATGCCTGTCTACCACCACCAAGATAGTATCCACCCCTTGAGCTTTAGGGAGACCACTTATGAAATCCATTGATAAATCTTCCCAGACTTGAGAGGGAATTGGCAATGGCTGAAGCAATCCAGCTGGTGACAAAGTCTGATATTTGTTTCTACTACAAGTTTCACACACCTGAATATACTGTTGAATAGTCTTTCACATCCCTTCCCACCACAATAGCCCTGCCATACGTTTATATGTACGAAAAAAACCTGAGTGTCCTCCCAAAGCAGTGTCATGGAATTCTTGCAAGAGTAAGGAAATTCTAAGGGAGTTCTTAGATATCACTAACCTCTTTTGGTAGAATAAACGCCCTCCTTTTAATTTAAATCCCGGCTGTATTTTACTACCTTGTAGTAAATCGTGCATAATCTGTTTCAGCTTCTCATCCCTTTAGACCTCCTCCTCTAGTCCATCCCAATCCTGGAAGGTAACACTAGAATTGGCAGCGAAGCACATTTTCCGGGATAAAGCATCAACAACTTCATTATCTTTTCCCACCTTATACTTTATTTCAAAATCAAAACCAAGCAGTTTGGCTACCCATTTCTGTTGCCCCTCACCCATCATTCTGTGATCCACCAAGAACTTCAAGCTTTTCTGATCAGTGTGCACCACAAATTTTCTCCCTAGCAGGTAATGATGTCATTTCTGGACCACCATTACTATAGCCATGAGTTCCCTTTCATAAACTGATTTTTGTTGGACTCTCTCTGATAGCTTTTGACTCAAATAAGCTAATGGGCATCCCTCTTGCATTAGAACCGCCCAAGTTCATCCAGTAATTCATCGATTATGGGAATGAAAAATTTATCCAGAATAGTTACCTTATTCAAGGCTTGATAATCCACAGAAAATCTCCAGCCCCCATCCTTCTTCTTGACCAGTATCACTGGACTCGAATAAGGGTTGTTGCTTAGACGAATAATTCCCGAATTTGACATCTCTCCAATAATTTTTTCTATATCATTTTTTTGGATGTAAGGGTATCCTTATCTAAGGAATTCCTGCATCCTCCTTCAGAATGATTGTATGGTCTTGCTCTCGAGGAGAAGGGAGCCCTTTCAGTTGCTTGCAAATGTCTGCATACTCATCCAACAGTTGCCGAAAATTTCCTACAAGGGTTTGCTCTGGTTGTTCCCCTTCCTTTTTAGTGCAGGGGACGATAAAATACCCCTCTCCATCGTCCCTCAGAGCCTTCATCGTTGCTCTCAATGAAGTGTTGGCCATCTCCAAGCAGGAGTCTCCTTGAATACACTATGACACCCCTTCCTCCTCCCAACTGATCACAAGCTTCTGAAAATTAACCTGAATACCCCCCAAACTCACAATCCACCCCACTCGTAATACTGCAACTACCCTTTCCAAACTCAGCAAGAAAAAGGATTGGATTATTCTTACTCCTTGCACTTCAAGCTCGATTTTCTCACAGAACCCAGAGCTTTCTATCAACTGGCCCGTGCCCACTTCTACAGTGAAGGTCATCATATCATCAACCTCCACTTGAAGCTGCCTCACCAAAGGTTTAGACTAAAAATTGTTCGTCGCCCCTGTATCCACCAAAATAATCACTTTGTTGCCCCCTATTGTCCCCCTCGCCTTGAAAGATTTATTCATAGTGATGAATCCTTGAAGGCTATTCAACAGGACTTCATCACTAACTCTGGAGTGACCTCATCCTCTTGAACTTTCTCGTCATCTTCTTCTTTGGAGTCTTCCACTAGCATGAGTTTAAAGTGCCTCAACTTGCATACATGACCTGGTCCCCATCTTTCGCCACATTTGAAACAAAAACCCCGGCAGCTCCTCTCTTGAAGTTCTTCCTGGGAAAGGCATTTCCCAATGACATTCTTCTCTTCACTCGTCCCTTCTGGAAGTCTCGTTGTTCCCTCTCTTTGCTGCCCACTCCACATATGAGATGGACTAGCTCTACTGATATTTGGGCCTTTAACTTGGCCCAAAACCTTGCTCAGTGGACTCTCTCCTCCTTTCCATTATGTGTTCCTCTCTTCTAGCATGAGAGCCCTATCTTCAACCTTAGCTAGGGAGCTCAGCTCTAAACTCTTGACTTCCGCTCGCAGTCCCCCTTTCAGCCCATTAATGAAGATGCCTTTCATGATATCTCAGTCTATATGCTTCATGGGCCCAAAAACTTTTTTAAATTCTTCAATATAGTCCATGACCGAGCCCAGTTGCTTTAATCTCAACAAGGGCCCATAGGGGTCCTTCACTACCCCTGGTTGGAACCTCCATAGCACACCGTCTCTAAACTATCTCCATGACGGACATGGAGTTTGTTCCTCCCAGGCCTGGAACCAATTTAGCGCCTTATCTTCCAATGCTAAAGATCACGACCCCATTCTCTCATCTCCCTCGATGTTGTTAATAGCAAAATACTTTTCGATTTTCACCAGCCAGCCCAATGCATCTTTGTCGAAAAATAAAGGGAGTTCCATTTTCCTGTCTAGGTCATGTCGCTGACGATGGTGACTGTCACGACGCAAGTTCGGTGGTCGACTACCCCAAGGACCACCCCAATGGTGCGAGTGACCACCATGAGAGTGGGGGGAGCCTCGTTTATCGCAGTACCAAGACCTCGAATCACGAAGCTCGCTGCGATGAAGAGAAGAGGAGTGGCGTGACCCCTCATCTTGTCTAGAACCCCCATTCCATCGGTCTCTAAGCTCCACTCAGTGGTTCCTCCATGGCTGTGGCGATTGACCTCGTGAACAAGCTCGGCATGATTCCTTCAACAGACGCAACATCTCATCAAACTTCCTCTCCAACTCTTCCACTCGATTCTCCATTGGCAGCTTCAACGAAATTGGACCCCCACAGCTCCCAAAAAAAGGAGCTTTGATACCAAAATGATAGAAACAACCCAAGAAATAGCAAGAAAATGTCTGGTATTAAGGAAATCAGAAAAAGACAAATGCAGTAACAAGAATGAAAAAAGGGAGCACTAAGCAGCTCCTACGCTCCAAGTCCTAATTCAGAAAAATCCCCCTTCTCCCTCCCACTAGCCAACAATTATACCCTTTTCTCATAACAGAATATTTGTTAATCATTCTCTCGCCCCCTCAGCAAGTCACACACACACACCTTCACAATTAGTTAGGATTGGGCCCACCTGGATCACACCCCTCTCCCAAATGTTTCCCAAGTTGCCCCTAAATTTCCTTCTTTTATACACTTTTATTCCATCCGGAATTCGATCCCTAACACAAAGAAAGTATGAGATTTATCCTTTGAATCAATGCAATAGCACTTACTCAAAAGGCATTCTCAGACTGTCTGTTCTTCCAACAGGAGAGAAACAAGCAAACTATGACTGCTTAGTTGAATTGTTCTTCTAATATAAAACAGAGACTGCTGTTTCTTCACCTTGAACAAGTAAAGAAAGGGGGGAGGGAGGGTGCAACATACAAACCTAGCAGGAAGGTCATATCCACTGGTAACTTTTGCCATCCCTGTTCGACATCCACCCTGTCAATAATACAGATGTATTAGTTGATATTCCCAAACATCATTTGATTCATTTCCAGAAAGCTGCTTCCAACATGGTACTGAGATATGACAATTTATTTGGAGCTGCTTCTAATAAGTTTATGAAATATTAAAACAAGAAACTAAAAGAAAAATACAACTGCAAATATAATAAATGTGTAACTCATGCCCCAAGCTGATAATATTAACATTTAACATAGCACACACAATACATATTTGCTAAATAATTAACTATACCAGAACCGCACATTCTTCTGCAAGACCAGGTCCAGCTGCTGCATGCAATCCAGGACTGCTGTGTGCTTCATCCATACTCTGGTCATGACAAGAAATAAAATCCAGGAAAGAAATAAGATATCATTCGCTCCATTTTATTTACTGGATTTTAGTTGTATCATTGATCATTTTATTATGAATAAATCCACCTAAGACATCCACCTAACAATCATACCATTTCTACACTTAATAAAGAAACATTAAAAGAAACGTAGATGTATTAAATATCTTGAGAGCACAGAATGCAATCAATATATTTTTTATTTAGTAATTAGGAGGATCATTAGGAAGATAGATTAGGAGGATGTAGAATTATTGTTATGTAGTTACAATCTGAGATGCAGGATAAAATATTCAAACTACAAGCATGTGGAAAGGATTCTTGACTAGTGTCAATGAATGTTGGAATATAATCTGATTCCTATTCACAAGCAGCCACAGGATAACAACAAGTGTTCTGAGGCTAAGGAAAAAGTAAAAACAATTGGTCATTTGTCAAAATTATTTAAGCATGGAACAATGTTTTTGTTGCTTAATATTTAAATAAATGCAAACCATATCATGGGTTCAATACTGTTTCATTTTTTACCAGTAACAGAATCATAGCTAACCTACAATGTTTTTAATTTTAATTTAAATACTGAATTAGCATTCAACAGAGGCTTTTAAATCACATAAAACAAAACAGAGTAAATGCCTCAAAGAAATTAAACAACAATCAATGTGCCACAGTGCCAAATGATGCCATTGTGTTCTATCATGAAATAATCCTGAAGACATACATTTAGATGCAAGTCCTCTTTTTAATGGTTTTGCCTAGTGTTTTTCTTTTCACATGGCCAAGCTACCTTCATGAGATTCTACCATCTTATCTCGAATGCATTCAAGACTGATCCTATATTGTTTTGTACATCCACTCTAACATCATCATCTATACAACACTAAGCTTATGCTCTCATTGACTCTTTCTTGTCTACCAATCAACAGCAACGACAAAGTCTTAAACCAAATTCTTATAAATACTATTAATTAATATATTTCTTTTAATAACTTCTAAAGTTCCCCTATATTTTCTTCTACTTCTTTAACTAGACTAAAAGTCGTGTTACCCATTGTCCTCAATAATGCTTCCAGTAGACTTTTTTGCATGTGAACAAACCACTTTAAACAATTTTCAATCATCGTTTTCACTACATGCAATCATTTTTTATCTTGTCTTTTCTCATGTGACTATCCATTCACCTTAGCATTATCATTTCAATAATTTCCACTCTTTTCTTCAAATTGTTCCTTTAAGCCTAGCACTCGCTGCCATATAAAATAGTTGGTCGTATTATAGAATGATAATATTTTTCTTTCAACTTGATAGGTATTTTTCGGTTACAAATAACTTCTGATATATTTTTTTACTTTAGCCACCCAACTTATTGTCCACCAATCAGTATTGTCAAAATCACAGGTGTTATAGTTGTGCAAAAAATTTTCTGTAAGCCTAAAAAGATACTTTATACGACAATTTCACAAATAACACCTAAACCATTTTTCCATTTCATCACCCAGCTTGCATGATTATATATGCCCTAACTTCATCATCTTGTATGATAGATCCAAGATAGTTGAATATATGATCTTAATCTTACATCTAAGCTAGTGTGAGCCTTGCTGAACTTCTGTTCCAAATACTCTATTTAATTCAACTTAATAAAAAACCATGTGCTTCCAAAGCTTTTCTCTGCAGCTTTACTTTATTATTTACTTCTTTATTGATTCTAGGACTATACCATTTGTGAAAAGAATGAATTGTGGCAAGAAAGGAAAGGAGCTGACTCTTGGTAATCCCAGTTATAAGGAAATCCTTAGTGATCCCAAAATGTGTTCTAGCAGTAGTTGTAAGTTTGTGACCCCATCGTACATATATTTGACAGCTCAAATCAAATATTAGCGATAGAAATCCTTTCTTCTTTAGTGCCTTCTAGAAAACTAGTCTTGACACATCATCCTCTTACAATTTAATGAAGAACATGGGTAGATCTTTTTGCTTCCTCCAGTACTTCTCCATCAATCTTCACGAAATGTACATGGCTTCCTTCATTGACCTGCCCTGTAGAACCAAATTGGTTCTTTAAAATGTAGGTGTCTTGTTTTAATCTTTATTTGTTTACCTTTTTCCATTGTTTCATGAGCTTAATCACTCGATAGTAGTCAGCAATATTCTGCATATATCCCTTGTTCTCAAAAATAAGAATTAATGTTCTCTCCATTCATCTAGCATTTTATTAGACCTCATTATCTCATTAAACAATTTCACTCAATGAAGAATGAATGAATGATACGTTTATGCATTTCCCCCAAAAGGTGGGTTCCTTGTCAAAGGCCTCCCAAAAAGTAAGGATGCCTGAAAAAAAATCAAATTGTAACTTGAAGAGCAGGGAGATGGTGGAAATTTTTTCACGGATTCGTTTTATGGACAAAACAATCACTTTACTTACATATCAAATATAACCCGCTTTTGGTGTTATTTTTTGTCCAACCTGGAACTTAGGGGTCCTTAAAGACCAATATCTCATAAAAGAACGAAGAAGGGAAAACATAAGGGAAAAATATGAATATATCTCAATGGACTGAATCACTCATCACACTATAATACAGATCAATAACATGGATGCTTTGGCTGCAACTTTAAATAAGCAAATGGCATGAGTTCTATCCTGAGGTCCTGCAAAGCACAGCAACAAGATAGAAAAAACTTGACAGTAACAACTAAAAACCTTGCAATTACCAAACCTAGAGAAGTTAAATTAATGAAGGAAACCTTAAACACAACAAAAATAACAAAAGGCCAGATAGTGCTCACCTCATTTGTTGAATTTATCACAGCATCCACCTCAAGATTCCAGGGATTCCCCCTCCACAAATACACCTTCGAATTGACTTCATGGTCAACGGGAAATCTTGACACTGACTCGCTGCCATCACCACCGTCTGCTCCTGAGGGAGATGCTAAAGGATCGGGAAAGTATGAACCAGAAAATGGAGTTTCAAACCCCAAAGACTGATCAGTATCATTCCACCGCGGAACTTGATCTAATGTAACAACAGAGTCCCCACTGTCAGTAGGCACTCCGCCTCGTGGTGTGGCAGAAGTAGCCACCGGCACATACATTTCAGGGACTCCTATCAACAGTACTACACCCTCTGTTGAGCTTCCAGGATCACTATGCTACCAAAATCAAATTACCTAACATTCAGAGTTCAGCAGGCATGAATAAGTTCATATAATAAACTACAACTACTAACACTAATATATCAACAAGAAAATGAGAAATATGATCCAATAGATTCCATAACCCTTACATACACCAAAAAGAGGCTTCATCTAAAATACAAAACCAGAAATTAGATTCCAGCCTAAATTTTAAAGACTACTCAAATCCTGAAGCATCGTTTGCAGATTACCCAAATTGAAAAGTACCATCAAAACGGATAATTAGTTAGATCAGAACCCTAATTTGAAATTTTATAGAAGAGAAGAAAGAAGAACCTGAAATTGATGGAGGGAATCTGTAGCTAGGATTTTGGGGTGTCGAAAAGGAGTTGGTCAGAACTATTTTGTTCAGAAAAAAAAAATGAACAAGGAAATAGAAATAATAACTTAGATTAGTGTGTTGTTCGGTGTGAGTGTGACGATGAGCTTGCAAATGCAAAGGTGGTGCGTTTTACGACAAAAGGAAAACGAGAAATGATTGTTTTGTCGTTTTCTGCACTTTACGGCTCGATAATCGCGATGTAGGGGAGGTTCAAGTCCAATTACCTTCAAGTCAAGAGGGTTACTTTTCAAATGGCTGATAAAATTTAATATGTAAAAAATATTATTAAACAGAATTATTTTAATAAAAATATTCTTGAAATAACTTCATTTTTCACACACATTCAGACGTGTATGCAAGCACACGTTTCTTCATGAATAATTAATTTTTTATTGTCTTTTTAAAAAGAATATCCTATTTTAAAGAAATTAAGCTCTTTCTTTTATGTAAAATAAAATTATTTCTTCTTTATCAGTGTCACATCATTATTTAAGTATTTTAAGTGCTTTTTAATTAAAATAAAAAATAATATAAAATGATAATAAAAAAATTAAATAAAAAAGATTAGTAAGAGATATTTTAAAATAAATAAAAAATAAATTTATTTTTTGTAAAAACTAAAAATAATGGATACTTAAATTTGAAAAATTAAAACGAGTACTTATTTCATATTTTAATGTAAAATTTGTGATTAAAATTAATTTAATTATAAATTTTAATCATATGTCTAATGATTCAAATAAACATTACTAAATTTTGAATCTCTACTTTTTGAGAGATAAAACACTGCTTCTACCGTCTAGGTGTCTTTTTTATATTTAAAGAATATATTTTTAAAATACATATACTAATAATAGTATTAATAATATGTAATATTATTTTTAAGTAAAACTATTTTATATAACATTTTAATTGTCTACTCTATTGAAAAATTGACTACACCTCATACATTTAGATTATAATTCTATATTCGTTAAAATTTTGTTTGAAAGTTGATTTTTTGGGAAGAGAAGGAAAATGAAAAGCTTTAATAATAGTTATCTTTATTTAGAAGTTTTCCAATGAGAAGAGAAGAGTTTATAAAACCTCTAAACCTTTAAATCTTATATTTTTTTTAAGTTTTCCCATATTGAATGTTTCCATCCTTTCTCTCCTGCATTTCTCATCTCTTGTCCTTCTAACACTTTTCTCCTCTTACTTTATAGCATTTTCAGAATGGATCATCTCTATATTTTTTATAGGAAATAAAAAAAAAAGTAAAAAAGGGATCTCAATTCAAGTACCTTGATTTAGGTAAAAAAAAAATTATTATAATAATGAGAATAATAATAACGAATGGCACTTGACTTGCATGAATTATCAATAAATAGATGACATTGATTGAAAATTGATATTATCTCTTAAATTTCTTTAAAAATCACTCCTATACTTTTCTTTTTTTATACCCATGATTTAAATTCATAATTAGTCATTGATTAAAAATCAAACATCATCTCAGTTAACACACGTGCCGTATAGATTTGGTATCAGTAAATGAGAAAAAAAATAATATATTCTTTATTTTTTATTCTTTTTCACATAATTTTTTTAAAAAAAATTCATGCATTAATTTATTATTTGCATTTAAAGTTAGGTAATTTTTAAATCAAGTAAACATCCTATGCCCTCTAATATTAGAATAATTATTATCGTTAATTTTATATTAATAGATAATAAAATTAATAATTTATTTAAAAAGATATTAAATGTTATTTTTTATAAGATATTATAAAAATCATAACTATTAATCTAAATAAGGTATATAATGTTTTCTCAAGTTTTTCTATGTATTATAACAATAACCTTGAGCGCTTCTATTTATTTTGAATGTTTTTTTGCTAGGATATTGGTGCTTTTCATTAGCTGGTATTTCTTCCTTACCTTAATTTGCTTGATTTTGGGTTGAGTAGCATGATTTCAATGGAACATCAAATTTATTAATTGAATCCCACTCTTTTTCTTCTTCCTTCCTTTTAATTGGCTCATTCTCTGATTTACTTGTCATTTGGTACGTTCCTGTTGCTGATGAAAGCTTGATCAAGCCTTAAAATATTAACGTTCACGCAAGAATATAAATTTCCTTATGATGCTGGAAAACCGTTAAAATATATATTGACTCTATTTTCAACTTTTACATTCTTCCCTTATCACAATGTCACTTTCTCAATAATATATCCTTTACTTTAATCCCAATTTTGATGGGCACTTGCTCTAATTTGCGATTAGTTTTTCTGTCACACAAGTGGAGAATTGAAGAAATAAAAAAGTTATGAATTCTACAAAGGAGTTCTGCTACTGATGATGTTTTAAAGAGCATACTAGTCACCAGAATATAGTCACTAGTGAGAATAAGGGCACAAGCAAATATAATTATGCTGCTACATCATTCATTTGGGAGTGGATTCTTGATTACTCTACTGGCTTCATGACAAATGCAACAGATGCTACTTTTGTGCTATTCCTCAATTTTAGTAGCCACCAGAAAACTCTGCTATATGTAGTATCGCAAACAACAGAAAATGATGCACGATTGCACATTTTTAAGAGCAAAGAACCCGCGTTTGTTTTCATAAATTTGTTTGGAAATAATGCAAGTGCCATAGCAGTAGCACATAAATAGTTTTAGTGCATATCAAATGGGCACCACTTAGAATTTTCCTCTTAAGACTTCCATTAAATTTTCTGATGCTGGCCCACAATCTCTTGACTTTCTTCCCTCATTTTTTTTTTTCATCTATTTTCATTTTCTCTCCTCGTTCAAATACAACGTTAATGCTTTTAGCATTTGCACTTAGCTTTAAGTGTCATAACATCTGGGGTATCATAAGCTTCGCAAGCTGCCACTCAATTATTTTTAGTAAAAAAAAGGATCTAAGATTGACGTTTATGATGCAAGTTTATCCAAATCACATAGCTTAAGAGTTAGTCAAAGAAGTAACACTACAAGGATTCCATGTTTGGCAATGCAGAGAACTACCAGTTATTTAACTAAGTACCATAACTTCACTAGTTTGGTTGAGCTCCTTACGTAGGACGAAAGAGCAAGCGAAATAATACACAGACATATCTTTATGATTGTTATTTTTGGAGTGATATGCCGATTCTTCCATATCAATGCAAATGGAATAATCAGACAATGTAGTACATGAAAGTTGAAACATACACCAAATGAGTGGGATAAACATGTGCGTTCCTCCTTTTTTACCCTACTATTCAAGTCATTCTCTAGAGATTAAACACAGAACTCCTAGGATCCCAATTATTAAAATAAATAAATAGATAAAAACTAACCACGTCTAGGATATGAGTAGAAGACGAAAGCCTCTAATCATTGACTCTCAAACGTTATTAGCATTCTTCCTCCACTCTTCAAATAGTCTCTCAAGGGACACCTCACAATCCCCACCAACAGCCATGGCTTTCCTCCTTGCCTCTTTAACTTGTGCTGCTTTTATTTTTAAAGATTCATCCTTCATCATATCCTTTATAGCCTCTCCAATTTGCTCCCCTTTGACCACACCTTCTCCAGCCCAATCCCAATCTTTCTTCCACACCCCTAACCCACTCATCTCCACAACCCCAGCATTTATCCTTTGATCTCCATTCTGAGGCCAAGCCAAAATTGGCACACCAGTCCATGCTGCCTCCATAACCGAGTTCCACCCACAATGACTCACAAACCCTCCCACAGCTTGGTGACCAAGAATCTCACTTTGATCCACCCATTCCTTCATCACCAACCCCTTCTCTCTCATCCTCTCCAACACCTCAAGCCCTAACACCTCATCTAACCCAACTTCTTCTTCCTTATCAACAATCTTATCCTTAACCACCCATAAAAACTTGCATCCACTCCTCACCAACCCTTCTCCTACCTCTCTTATTTGGTCCCTTCCCATAGCTGTCCTACTTCCAAAACCAACATAAACCACAGACCCAATAGGCTTATCATCAAGCCACTTCAATGGTGCACCCCATTCACCTTCCTTCTCAAACTCACAACGCTCAAAAGGGCCAATGGCATGAACTTGAGGCATTCCTCTGACCACTTTCCCAGCATTAAGAGCCTCAAGAGACTGTGTTTCAAGCGCTTCAAAGGTGTTGATTAGAACCCCATGAAACTTTGTGATCTGAGGACTATCTTCCATGACAAATTTTCTAAAAGTGGTGTTAGGGAGGAGAATCACTGGCGGTATAGATGATATTGGGATAGGTGAAATCCCGGGAATCTGTACAACATCAAGTTTAGGTAAGGATTGAACAAGAGAGGGAAAGTGTGAGACGAAGGACAACATGGTAGCAGAAGAAGTGCCCAACAAGTAGTTGGGGAGAGCAAGAGTCTGAGTGATTGAAAGGAGAGGGGAAATGAGAAAGAAGTCAGAGACAAAAGCTGAAAGGGGAGGGGAAAGTGTAGAGAGGAAGGGAGTGAGAAGGGGGGTAGAGGCACAAATGGCTTCATAACGAAGGAAAAAAGGGTCATTAGTGGAGTTGAGAGATGGAGAAGGTAGTTGAAGATGAAGGTTGATTTGGTTGACTTGAGGGTATGTGGAGCGGAAGCGAGATAGGAGTTGCGCTTCAGCTTGGGAGACAGTGGGAAGAGGATTGATGATAGTGACTTTGCATTTGTGGTTGAGAAGCAAAGAAGCCAACCTTAACATTGGGGTCAGATGACCCATTCCAGCACTTGGCATCATACCCACATGAACATCTTGATTTGACATGCCGCCAGAACTTACTATGGTCAATGGCTTCCCCACTTGGAGTTAAGAGACAAAAAGGGGCTCTGGTTGCTATATTATTTCTCAAGTTTTCTCATTTAGGAGTTGTTTTAATACTAGTGGGAGAACGAAGAAAAAGGATAGGTAAGAACTATTAGTACGTGGAACCCACTCTAAAAGAATATCCCTCCAAAATGGGATCAGAGGAAAGGGGTTTGGTGGGGTTTGGTTTTACATATATTCAATTTTAATTTTAAAATATTTATATAATATAAAAAATTAGGAAATGTATTATAATTAAAAATTCATTTTTTTAAAATTGATTTTAATTTGTATAATTATTTTTTTAAGAGATCTAATGCCTACCTCAAGAAGAGATACAAAAGAAGTTGTGATCATAGTAAAAGATTTCCTACAGCTGAAGGTAGGTAGAGCTCCTCCATGGGAAGAGATAAGGAAAATATATCATGTATATATGCACAAATTTTGTTAATCAATTTAAAAGCATGTATAAAATAATTTAGATATTGTACTTTAATTTAAAAAGGCATGTAATTTATTAATTAATAATTAAGAACAATAGTTGTTCTTTGCTCTGGCTGCCGCTTAGCCCGGGTTATCCTCTCTTTCAAAGTAGATTAGGTTTTTTTTCTTTACGTAGTAGAAAGGAAACATGTTTAACCTAAGGTTAATTCAAGATTTGGTGAAAAGGAGTTTGAATTCTTAAAATTGCAACGTAATCCTTGAAAAACTTTTATGCGACAATATAAAAATTTATATCAAAATATTAATAAAATATAACATAACTAAGAAAGCTGCACATTAAATTAAACAACTCATTGGGACATGAAAGAGGGAGACTCATTTCCCTTCAAAAGTTGGGGCATGAGAGTTTTCACCTAAAGTGATTCCAGTAATTCATATTTTATTATGTATTAAAATTTTATAATTTATAAAAATAATGTATATGTTTTGCTACATGGGTGGCTGGAACCATATCACAAACAAATTTCTCCTAGAATAGTTCTCATGAGTTGTTAAACAATTTGATTTAAATTTTGAACATAAAATATATCTTTATGTACAGAGAAATGAAATGTCAAAAAATGTATTTTTTACTATATTTTTAATTATTCTTAAAAATTATAAAAATTTGAATCTCACCTTTAATTTAATAAATTTTATTTTCAATTTAATTATATTTATTTATATTTTTATAATTTTTAATAAAGTTTAGCTAATAACAATCTATTAAAAATATGTCATTAGTATTCTTTAAATTTTTATTATTTTCTTTATAAGTAATCTATCATATTAGTTTATAAGATTGCAAGAGTTAAGCAAATTAGTTCTTAACAATTTGAAATGAATTTGTAAATTCTCAATTTTGTCAAAATAAGATTAATCTATGTTGTTAAACGATGTTTTGAGATGTCAAAATGACATTATTTTATACAATTTTAATAACTAATTTGATCCATTTTTATCGTTGTGATTGCTGTCATTTATAATGTTTTATCTCCTCTTCTTCTCACCCATAATGTTTCTTATCGTCACTGTCACCAAACTCATTATTGCTCTATCATATTCATAAACTTAGGGGTAAGCTTGCTCATCATTGTCTTCGACCTCTCTCACCGTTCCATTAACTACTCCTTCTTCAAAAACTATTTCTCCCTCTCTCCTTCCATCAACATTATCTCCCTCTATAAAGCCTTAAGTCAGCATGAAATACAAATGCAAACTACACAAGAGTGATGATAACAACAATGAGATTGTGCAAATGATGAGGAATATGCAAATTTAGAGGAAGAATGGAGTGAATCGTTCATGGTATCCTGTACCTATTTGGTTTCACTAGCGACAACATAATGATGTCATAAGCCTAAATCATTGCTAACATTTGGTTAGGAACGAGAGGTAATCCTTTGTTAAGGACAATGATAATCCTTTTGGCAATGACATGTTTGATGACAATGGTAGTTAGGAATGTCATGGTGGGGAGAGAGGGAATGTTAGAGATGACAACATCAATAATAATAAAAATTAATCTTTAAAATTGTGTGAAACAACATCATTTTGACATCTCATATGTCACTTAAAAACAAAAGTTAACACTATTATGATCTAAACTATTAGATGGATTAAAGTGTCCAACATTTAATAAAGTTGAGAAATTAAATTGTTCATTTTAAAATCTTATGGACTAATTTACTCGATGCTTACAATTTTTGAGACTAATATAGAGATTTGCTCTTATTTTCATCTTTATAAAAGTAGTTAAGTTTGTATTTATTTTAAGTATAACTTTCCCCACTAAATTTGGAATAAATTGATAAATTTGAGAACATAATTACTGCATTAAGATGTGTTTAAACGTCAACTTAATTATTACTTAGATGTGTTTTTCTCTGTTAATCTTTATCATTAGCATATAAAAATGTGATAATTTTTTTAATGAGTCATTCATATTTTTTTTTTTATTCCTTAAATAAATATGATGTTCTTTTTAATGAATCATTCATATTTTACTTATTATATCTTAAATAATTGAAATCCAAACGATCAAATTTTAAGTGCAATAATCATTGCAATAGAAAAGACATTAGAGAGCGGTTTCAAATTATTTTAGAAAGTGATTCAAAGTGCTCTAATAAACATTGGTATCCAAAGTGAATGTCACTTAGAGAGTGGTTTATATAACTGCTCTTCAAAGTATGAGAATGAATCACGAATCCAAAATTTTAATTTTTTTTATAAATTTTTATTACAAACTAAAATTAATTTATTATTACGTTTAAATTTGAATTTATATGTCTGACATTTACAATTTTTTCATTTTTATCACAACTCAAAATTGATTATTTGTCTCACGCGTTGAAACTTAAGCTTGTATATTATGCTAACTAAACAATTCACATCTGCATGAAACAAAAACTAGTAAGCAGATAAAAAAAGAACAAATTAGTAAGATGGTTTATTATTAATAAAGAGAAAAAGAAAGAAAGAGAGAATGAAGAGAACGGTAAGAAAGATACCTACAGATGTGAAAGAGACTAACTTTATTAGTGCAGAAAAGATGAAAAGAACCTATATATATGAAAGAGAAATTAACTTTGTTAGCGCAATGAAGACAAAAAGAACTTATATTGAAAGAGACTAACTTTGTTAGTGCAAATAAGACGAAGAGATTCATAAGATGTGAATTGAGTATGCTTCAAAAGGTGTGAGTTGGACGTACTTCATTTATAAATTAGAATTTGTTAAATATTTTAAAATTTTAATTTATGAAAAAAAAAACTTTGGGGAGCATAAATTAGAGTGGTTTAACATAAACTGCTCTCTAAGTATATTATTACAAAGCAATTTTTATTAACTACTATCTAAGTTAGCGCTTCAAAAACTCGTTTCTGACAAAGTAAATATAGGTAATGTCAATATTATTCTCTAATCAAAATAAATGACAATAGTTGCCATCAAATATTAGTATATCAAGATTAAAGGTCAACATAAATTCTCATGATAAAACTTCAATTCTAATTAAAGAAAAGTACTAACAACACTTACGGTGCTACACCTAAATTATTTTCAATACAAAAGACAAACCTTAAGTGTAGTACTATAGGTATCTCATGCTTTTCTCTAATAAAGTTTTGTCTTGGTGCAAAGGAGAGTTTGATAAGTTTGTAAAAATTTTGATAATAAGGTAGAATGAATGTACTCGAGGCTTAAGGTCTTCATCATATATATATATATATATATATATATATATATATATATATATGTTATTAATGTGATGTCAACTAATTGTTAAAACAAACTATCTCATAAAATTCTACTTATTTGAGAGTTAGACAAGTAAATTTCCCCTTGATTAAGAGTTTGGTGTAACATCCCCATCTTTGTTATTTATTAATTTGTATTGTATGATAATTGTTAATGCATGTTATTTGAAATTAGAAGAGTTTTAGTAATGTGAATTGTAAGATTTCTCTCTGTAGCGAGAAAAGTCATATAGAATCAAACTTTCTGAAGCTCTATCGCTGTAGCAAAAAGTAGATAAGGATGACCCAACAATATTCTCGTTGTAGTGAGAATTCTCCCGCTGTAGCGATGAGCTCTCACTGTAACTAGAATGACAGATAGTAAGGAAAAAAAGAGGTATGATTTTTTCACTACAGCGAGAGAAGGGCTCGCCGTAGTGAGAATGTCGAGTATTAAGGAGTATTTAAAGGTTTTCAAGTTAAGAAACTTCTTTCGCTATAGTGAGAATGTCGAGTGTTGAGAAGTATTTAAATGATTTCAAGTTAAGAAACTTCTATTACAATCCAAGTTACAACTCACTCTCAATTTCCTCTGACTTCTCTCTCTTAGAAAATCCTTGATAAACCCCAATTTTCTTTGATTCAAGCTTGTCAATCCACTCTTTTTGCTATTTAGTAAGTTCATGATGCTTGGTTTTCCATTCCTTAGTTGTTTTCTTATTTCTGACCTCTAAAAAGGATCTCTTGTGATATTTAGGAAGAACCCAACTTTTTAAGCAAGATTTCTCACAAACTCTTTTCTAAACTTCTATTTTAAGGTAAAGAGAGCTTTGTCTTATTGCCAAAAACTTGTTATGTTTATATTCATAAAAATGTTATGGTGTGATATGTGATTGTGAATATATGTTCGATGAAAATATGTTTTCTGTGCCTTGATGATCTAAATGTCATATGTTACGAGTATGTATGTTATGGGCTAAGTCCGGAGGTGACCAACTTCTAGCATTGATTGCTTAATATATGAGATAGTTAACAAACTTACTTGAACAAAATAGAAAGAGAAAGGATGAATAATATGTTAGTATAAAGATAATGAGTTCAAACTACAATGAGTAATAAGGAAAGTAGAGCCATAATGAAAAACATGAAAATAAGATGAGACTTATGAAAAGAGAAGTGGAATGAGAGAGGAAAGTGGAATAAGAAGGGGAAATAATAAAGACAAGTACGGATAGTTCAAAGATATACTGAAAGTGTAGAAGATAGAGACAATTTGAAAAATCTTGAGGAAATAAGGGTGGTGGTTGCTCTTCTTGATTTGTGCATAACAACTAAGAGTAAGAGCACCACAAGCCTCATAATTATCTCTTGACTTAAACTTCTAACCATACTTTTGCTAAAAGCATGAAATGATAACTCCAAGTTAATAGAAAGGAAATGTAATAAGTTAAATAATTAATGATTGATACATGTATATGAATATGAATTGTGTGGCATGATTGATTATTTTATACTGTTTTTGCCTATATTATTTGACTCAATTGTGAATATATGTTTGGTAACGAGACGAGAGGCTCATCCTTATATAATCTTTCAAGGAATAAAGATGACGGACCCACTTAGTTTGTTCAAGTTACTTATCACTAGTAGAATAGATCTAGTAGCTAGGGAGTGACAATGTTTATGCAATTGTAGTTTTCTTGTATGTTGTAACAATAGTTCTTGTATTATATTTACTTTAGAGATTACCATAGGATATGATGTACTCTTAGATTACCCTGGCAGTAGTAAAATCTATCAGACTATATGTGTGGTTATATACAAAGGTTTGACTAGACCACTAAACGCATGGAACTATGTGTACACTTTCCTGTGCTGTGATCAGTATGGGAGACCAAGCCATCGCACCGCAAAGAGGATCACAGGTCCTGAATTGATAATTGATGCAGGTGACCTTAATGAAGATGAGGACCTATCCCTAGAGGAAATAACAGAGATAAAGGAGGAGTTTTGGGATGACAACTAGTATTGTCTTCGGTCTTTTTGGTGGACTTAATTAAGACTTATTATATTTTGTATTTTATAAATGGTATCGATGAGTCCTAATGCGTTTTGAAATGATACTTTGTAAATATTGAACTCTTGTATATTAATGGAACCATTGTATATGTACATTATTTCAGTTCCTTACTTAAATTTATTTGCTTCCCATCGCTTTATTACTGATAAATTTTACAAGTTGGAGTAATCCAAAAAAATATTTTACAATTTTGGTATTTTGTATTATAAATATAAGTGAACTTTAATTTAATTTCTTATTTTTAATAAAAAATTAATTCTTTAACTGTATAAATTAAAAAAGATGTTATATTTAGTGTGTAATTCATATTAAATAATGGAGATAGTTTAAGGATAGTTTAGACTATGGTCAAAGAAAACCAAAACCCTTGCATGCTAGTGATATGCTATTTCTAATGTTTACTCCAGATACTCTTGATCAAATCTCATTCGATCTTTAACTATATGATTTAATGCTTATACTTTAATATCAATAAAAATTTTGAATATATCAATGCTATTAAAGAAGTAAGTCATTAAATTTCAAGCAATTTTTTGAAAAGTTTTTTACAATCTTCTTATTGTCAAATCAACTCTCAAGGCTAGAGGTTGATTGAAGTAATATATAAAAAATATCTAAATGATGATATTTTGAATAGACAAAGAATTATTCTTTAATGTCATGGTGATTTTACAAATTTAATTATATTTGTTTTATTTTTTTAAGAATTTAAATTTAAGAAATCTAATTTAATATTTTTTTAGATTTTAAATTCTTTAAGAACTAATAAATGCTTTTTTAAAATTTTTTTGACGCATTTAGTGCTAATTGAAGAAGAGTCGAAGAATTTGACTTTAACAAAGTTAAAAATGTTGTTGCAAAGTAATAATGAAAGTTTAGCAAATTATTCAACAATGCCCCCAACATGATAGTCGAGGAATAGGTAAAACATTTATATGAAGAGTTATTTTGGCTGCTATTAGAAGCAATAGAGAAATTGTTTTAATAGTTGCATTGGGTGGAATAGCAACAACCTTACAAATTCTTGGAAATAGAACAAGTTATTTTAAGTTTGTTATCCCAAAAAATATTGATAAAGACTCTACTTGCAACATAAAATAAGGAAGTAACTTGATGAGTTCATTATTAGAGCCAAATTAGTTATGTGGAATGAAACCCCGTACCTCAAGCATTATTTTGAAGTTGTTGATAGAACTTTTAGAAAAATCTTTAGATTCTTTGTCAATGATAGTTTGAATAGACCTGTTGGATGAAAAGTTGTTGTTTTAGGTGGAAATTTTAGACAAATCTTATTTATGATTCTTTGAAAGGAAACAAAACAAAATCACCTATGCCACCATTAATCCTTCATGTCCTTGGAATTTTTTGGTCAAGTGTTAACACTGAAAAAACATGAGGCTTTTGATTGGGTTTAGGGATATAAAATAATAATTTAAAATTTAAAGTAAAAAATTAATAGAAAATTAAATTTATTTAATTTTAAGATTATAAAGGCTTTAATAGGATTATGAATGCAAGAGAACCATCTCCAAGAGGCTGTGTAGAGTAAGGTAGAAATGGCCACTATATACCTAGACAAGTTAGGACCCTCCAGGCTTTGGACCCAAATTCATATACAAACCGAAGCGAAAGATTAGGTGAATAATATGCATAAAATCAAAACCTAGAAATTCAATATAGGACCACTATTTACCTAGAAAAGTGACTTAAGCCTAGTAAGTGAATGTAGGGTAAGGATTGAGAGGAAAAAAAGAATTACCTAGTATGGATGGAAGCCACGTGGCCTTCAACATGGGGAACAAGGCAATTAGTATCAATATTAAGAGAAAAATTCACCCAAGCCTTCTCCTAATGATTCCTATTTGAAGTTAGCTCAATTCAAAACTTTTATTGAAAATTTAACTGCATTTAATTTTAAAATTTAATTCAAAATTTATACTTTACTAATTTATTTATAAATTATTTATATCTTGAAATGTCTGAACACAATTAGTTCTCAACTTTATAATTTTATTAAGTCATTAATAATTATATTAAGTCATTTCTTTTCTCTTCTAACTTAATCAAATTATTTTTTATAACAATTATATTAATTCAATAAAATATAATAAATAATAAAATAAATTAATTATTATAACTCAACAAACACTTAATTAAAAATAAATATAATAAGTATCCTATTCTATACATCTTTGACTACTAAATTGGCCTAAACTTTTATATTCCTTCGACACCCAACCAAGTAAGGTCCTCTAACACATTCTTACATCCACATGGCTTAAAACAGTACCTTATTTTATTTGGACCATGATGTGCACAAAACAAAAAACGCGAAATAACAGTTTCCTGTATCAAATCTTCAACGATTCGTAAGAAATTATATATACAGGAGTATCATTCTCTGAATTTCTTACATCAGTTTAAAAACTTTTAAATTTAATCTAAATTTTTTATTTAATTTATATTTAATAGATTATAATTTATTATTTTATTAACTATTAGATATAAATTAAATAAAAACTTTAAATTAAATAATTTTTTTTAAAATTTACACAAATATGAAAAAAAAAAATTATGTAAACGTGTAGCCGCTCAAAAAACTGTAAATACTATATTTTTCAAGTTCGAAATCCATTTTTTTACAAAATTAGATACAATACTAGAGCTCCATAAGAGACATTCGAAATGAATAAAAAATGGCCTCAAAACTTAGCCTGCTGCTCAAAATATCATCGAAATAATAAAATAAAACAAAGTGTAACTCTACAAAATAAGTTATGAATATACAGAAAAAAAAAATTTACACTGAACTTTTTATTTAATTTATATTTAATAATAAGTAAAATAATAAATTATAATATATTAAATATATTTTAAATCAAAATTTTAAATTAAATTTTTATGAGAGTGAAGTCTAATAAATGTTAAAATAAATTTACGAACCACAGGTTCTCAGCATCAAATATCTACATCTACCGAGATATTCTCCATCTATCCCCATATAACAAACACGGGCGCGTGGCTCACTTTAAACCATTGCGCATTAACTGAAGAAAGCAACACCGTTGCCGACACTCCAAGCCAAACACTATCCACATGTTTCTTATTTCATTTTTCTTACACGTCAACGTTACGTGTTATAATTTTATTAATATTATTCAATATTATAGTTTTTAATACAAAATTTTTATTTATTGTTTTTTATTGTTTCAAATACAGTGTTGTACACGTTAATTCTTTTTCTGACTTTGGTTGTGGACACATAATCATAATTTTAACTAATTTAAAAAATATTAAAATTTTATTACGTGTTACATTATAATTTGTCTATACTAGTCATGAGTCACCAAAAAATTTACCCCCGACAAGACACATCTCTATCTCGCAATAGATAAGCGAGAGGTGCATCAACATGAGCCACAATCTTCACAGATATTTCTTATGCAAAATCTTACCCCACGAAGATATATATAATTAATCAACCCATAGCAGTTGCTGCAGAGTCAACAAAAAGACTGTACAATGGCTTCAGAAGAATCGCAGAACAAACCAAGTGGGCACTCAAGCAGCGAGCTCTTGGCAAGCGCGAAGTTGGTGGCAGATGCAGCACAATCCACTATGAAGAATGAAAGTGACAAGGTGGACAAAGCAAAGGTTGCTGATGCTGCAGGGGATCTTCTAGATGCTGCTGGTCAATATGGGAAATTCGATGATAAAAAAGGTGTAGGGCAATATCTTGATAAGGCAGCGGATTATCTGCATCAGTACCAGAATACTAGTGGTACACCTCCTCCTTCCAAACCTCAAGAGTCCAAAGGTGATGATGCAAAACCTGATGAAGGTAGTGGCGCTGCTGGTGGTGGTGGTGGATTTGGTGGGGATTTTGCAAAGTTGGCTGGTAGCTTTCTCAATAAGTAATTAAAAGCATGCATATATATGAGTGTTTTAGTATGTAAGGGACTTTGATTTCTTAACTTCTGTATTTTATGTTGGAGTTATGTGGTGTATGATGGATCTAATAAATTTGCTTTTGTTGTTTTGTAATAGGATTAGTGATCACTGTTTCTAGTGTCCGTTTTCTGTAATTGAAACTCCAAACAATGTTCCATCTTGGCTCTATCTATGTAATGTTAAACCTTGTGTATAGGATAGTGTTGAATTCTCTTTTCTCTGTCGTGTTTTGTTCTGTTCTGGCTAATTGATAATTTGCGTGTCTTATACTCACCGTGGATTAATTGAGGTATAAGAATGGCAGTGGGACGTTTCAAATCTGATGTCTTTATTGCCAATATTAAATATTGAAGTTTCATTTCGAGGGAAAAAGATAATTATGTTTGATTATTTTTTTTCTTTATACTTGTCATTACACTTAATTGAAACTTGAAATATTAGAAAATAAAATTAATATCCTCATAACTGTTAAAGCTATTATTTATGACTTGTGAGTTAGGTGGAGTTAAAGCTAAAATTGGTTGACGATTCGTTATGTTCAAAGTCTCTTATGCATTGACCTTTCAAAAGCAATTATGCATTCACGTTAATGACTACTGTAGCCAACCCTCAAAACAAGGTATTACTTTGTCCACAACTATTACTTTATTGATTTTTCACCCCATGATGCTTCTATACTTTTACTTTATATGCTATTTAAATTTGAATGGGAGAACATTGTTTAAGTTTGATTATTTGAAATAATGTTAAATGGTTATTGAACATATACAGTTTGGTCTTATGGTAATTCGCGGATGTAAAGTATAGCAAAGTAGAACACGGATATATCTACAGTCAACGTGATAGATAAAATAAATTTACGAAAATTATAAAAGTAGAGATTTTAAGCGATTTTGTTTTACTTTCCTCTGTCCCATTCTGAAATCAAGTGTAGTAATCAAACTCTGAAAGCAAGAAAGCTGAAACTAATTTACACCAAAATTAAAGCAGCCCATGAGTGTTTTGTCTTACAGAATCACCTTTTTCCCCCTCCTTTCCTTTTTTTGTTTGTTTGTTGAAGAATGGGAGATTACCAGACTGCTAATGAGTACTGAGAGGTGTACAAATAGAAATCATAGAATTGTGATACAAATAATTACATATTTGTGTTTGTTACCGAAAGTGAGTCAGTGAGTGAGTCAAGTTACACACATAATTGGAGTTATTAGAAGCAGGAGCATGGCCCTGGAATCTTGCCTGTTGTTCTAATTACATTTGCCTTCTCTTTTGCTTTAAATACTTCATTCCTTCGTCTTTCGTCTGCTTGGGCTCTTGCTCCATTTGCAATCTGATCTATATACGTCATCTTTTCTTGATATTTCCTCAAAGCTTTCCCCTTTTTTCGCTCATTGTCACTTTGCTGCACGTTACACCAATTATTTAAGTAATGTAAGCAAATTTTGATAACATTGTGTCAAATTAGTCAATGCTTCATTACTTTCTTTTATTTTAACATACTATATGTTATTTAAAATATGAACAGATGATTATTGTTAGATTATTTATCAATATAATTAGTATAAGAATATCACATGAATTAACTATAAAATTGATAAAAACTATTTACGATAAAATGTCTTACACACGTGATTCTGTGTGTGATATTCCAATTAAGCATGCATATTTAGGGTTTATTTGAGGGAGAAACCTCACCTCATGCTTATTTAGCTTGCGTCTGGCTTTCATCTTCTTCCTCGTTTCCCATGAAGCTATGGTCTCTAACAAGTTCTCGTACCTAACAAAGTTTGAACGTAATGATAACCTTACATAGTGTCATGGCTTCTGACATGTGATTGAAAAAATAATTTTGTTTTTCCTATCTGTTAGATTTTTTTATTAATTTGACCTTTTTCTATTAAGAGACAGAGAAGAAAACACATAAATGGGATGGGTAATTTGGATTCAGAAAGTATTTAATTCATGTCCTTATTAAGATTGATTATTTGGCTACAATTAATAATGTCAAGGTAAAACAGCTAACAATTAAGCACATACCTCTCTTTGATCTTTTCAAGTTCCTCCCTCTCCCAAGCATCTGCTTTTCTTTGCTTGGTGCTTTGTCTTGCAAGGTTTGAAGTCTGCTTGATTGGTGGCGGCGATGGTGGTGGTGGTGGTGGTGGTGGCGGCGGCAGCTTTAAAGACACGGGCTGTTGAACTGGGGGAGGAACATTCGGTTGAGGGGTCTCAGGTTTTATATCATCAGTGTTCATATCACCAAAGGTTGGAATCCTTTTAGGGGCTGGGATCTCAGGTTTTTCATCATCAATTTTGCTCTTCAATTTTTCACTATAAGTTGATGTCCTTTTCATTGATGATGCAGGGGTGATAGTTTTTTCAGGCTTCTTTAAATTCTCTGTAGCCTTGTTACCTTGGTCTCTGGTGGTTTTAAATGAGCCTGCATAGGATGTAGAAGCAATTAACCATAAATGTGTTTTTTTCTTTCAAAGAAGGTATAAATTATTATGAATTTTTCTAATCCAACACATGCTAAGAAATCAATAAATAATAAAGTTTTTATTAAAACTATAACAATAAATATTCTCAATGCATTGTATCATGTGAGATATTGTAAATTCTAATGAAAACTTAGCCTATATTGATTCTTATTACATTCAATTGACCATGCCTAAAAAAAAACGAATTATTATATAGTTGTGCTCATGTCTTTAATTACCTGATAATCGCTTGGATGCACTACCAAAATGAGACATTGGAGATCTTGGATAATCGACCTTGCTAGTGGTCTTGGGCAATGTGGTGTCCCTGGTTTTCATTTCTTGTGGAATTTCTGAGACCCCTAGTGAATAAATTGCGAATGCAGCGGCAGCAACTGCTGTAGCATGCTCCATTTCTATGGACTCATAGTCATGACTCATTTTCCTTGAAAATTGTCTCTGAAACCAATTCTGGACCTTTTTCTTATCTGTAGAAATTTGTCACTGTAGTTGTTACTTAATCATATATAAAGCTTTTATTTTTTTTTTCTCCCTCTTTTTTGTCCCATGATTTTCTGAAGGATAAAATTAAATTATTTATTCCTATTGCCCATTGCCTTCCCTATAGTCTTAATTAAGAAATGAAATTTGAACTGAAAAAACAAACAATAGAGAATGTAACTTTTTAATTATGCATCATTTCATTCTGTCAAAATGGTACAACATAAAATATTCTCAGCTCCTTCACCTCCTATGTGTTTTCATGGTGACATTGATGAGTTCTTGCCTAATGCTGATAACAAATCCTACAAGGGAAAGATTACATCACCTTTGAAGGATGGGGGTTTCTGTAATGGTATTTTCTGATCCCTGCTACCACGCCGATCAGCTTTATTCTCCTCCTCTGCACCAGTTAATTTCACTCTAACAAAAAGTTTTCAGCATATAAACAATATTTGGGGAATTATTGAAAAACAAATAAATACTAATTGTACTAAAAAATTGTACACAAATTTTGTTACAATTTCATGAGGTAGGAAGAGAAGGGAAAAAAAGAAGAAGTGATTACATGGATGATGTGATAGAGAAATAAATAAATAAACACACACACACACATATATATATATATATATATATATATATATATATTGTTGCAGAAATTCATTGAAAAAAATATAATAAATGTAGCCGTGGGTGCCTAGTTAAAAGACCTATATGTAGTGTACAAAAAAGATTGGAGTAATATTTTAATTTAGTCTCCAAAATTATAAATTATTATTTTAGTCTCTAAAATTATAATTTTTATTATTTTGTAACTTTATAATTAGAGTAAACGTCTTAAAATAATTTTAGAGATTAAAATAATATTTTAACAATTTTAAGGATTAAATTCAGCATAGTATAATGGAAAGGAATGATATTGGACATGAGACACTTAGTTCACAAAATGATTGATTCAGAGATTGCAAACTAGCTTTGATAACATAAATAACTATATCTTGTCAGCATAACTGCATGGTAAATGTTGTATGAAAACGAAAGCCTCTTTCTTTATCAAAAACTAGCATACCCTTTTGCCATTTGTAGAGGGTGAAAAATAGGAATTACTAACCTTATCTGCTTCATCAAAGTTTCCATTCTAGAGAAAGAAAAATCTTCTCTCCTACTTCCCTTTTATGAGCAATGCTTTGTTATGAACTAATAATGAGTGGTATTTGAAAGGGAAGAAACCTAGGAAAGGAGAACCTTTTTGTAGATTATAGTGATAGGCTCTGATTGAGGGGAGGAGGGGAAGCAAGGTTAAATATACTTTGCATGTGTTGTCTGGTTAGGAACTCAAGTGCCTTCTCAGGAAAGACAATTATTCTTTTCTTCTTCGGAGGCTAACCATCAAGCATAAGATCTTACATCGGCTTCTTTTCACATTTATAATCCACATTTCTCTTATGAAAATTTGTATACCCTCAAAGTAAATCTTATATGGAGAGAGAGAGATGTCAAGTTTTTTCTTAAAATTATTTATTGCTTTCAACATTTAATACATGAAATTTGGTATTTATTGATTTTACTTATCCTCTTCCTAATCTTCCCACTATTTTATAAAGTAAATATTAAATAACAATTACATGAATTTATTATTTTTAAAAATATAATATATATATATATATATATATGAATAATTCTAATTCTTTACCTTTTAGTCTTATAAATCTTCCTAATTATAAAAAAATTAAATATATTATATAGTTTTAAGATGATAAATACATGTATTTTTTTTTTCATTTAATATTTACACTTTTAGTAAGAATATTATTAGGAAGATAAATATGAGGATAAATGTTATATGTATGCAATATGTGATTAACTTAAATAATATTATCAAACATTATCGTTAAAGTTATAATATATTTATTGGGTGTACAGTCTTTCATATTATTAAAATTTGTATATAATTAAATTAATTGTTATAAATTTAATATATAAACATAAATACTATAAAGGTTTGTTATTATTTAGTATAAATGATATATAAATATAAATTGATAAATATAAATAATAATTTATTTCCTAATTTTTAAAAATTAAATATTATTATAAATAAATTACTGAGTTACTTTCATATATATATATATATATATATATATATATATATATATATCATGTAATTTTTGTAATTATCCTTTCTTATAGATTATTTTATAGAAAAATATTAATATCAATATAATTTTAAAATTTTTAAGGTTTTTTACAGTAAATAAAAATTAAAACTAAAAATATTATATAAATTATTTACAGTTTTTATGCATCAGATAAACTAAATCAAATAATTTCATATACGATAAATAAAACAACATTATTGAGAAATTAATTTTCAAACCTTACATTTACTTTTAAAAAATATAATAAATAGAAAATTAAAATAATATGATATTATGAATTCATCTAAAATTTCATTTATGTAAGTAAAAAAATATTAAACAGATGTTAATAAAGATTTTTTGATATATTATATTATTTGATTAAATTATTATATACATTTTTTCAATGTGTATGTTGCCTTTTACTTTACATAGTTTGTTTACAATTATACCTATTGCATCGTTACTATTCTCATGAGGTAAAACAAATTTTTAGAAAATTTGAATATTATCAAATTCTTTTTTCAACGTAGCACGTGCTCAAATAAGCATATCGTGTGTAATTTAGCTTATTTTTTTAAAAGATTAATTCTATTTTTCTATACTTTATTATTACAATTTTTAATTATCAAATTATAAAGTATTAAATATCTTCATATTTTTAAAATAATAAATATATAAATTTTTATTTGATACTTTACTTTATAAAGTAACAAGAGGGTTATTAAGAAGATATATAAAAGGATATAACATAGTTTTTTTTTAGAAATAATAAAAATAAAATGTTTAAGGTAAAATAAGCCTAAACCATTTTATTTTATTTTTGTTAAACATCAATATTTTATTAAAGACAAATTTAGAGTATAATAAGTACTTTAACCCATTACAACTCTATAGAAAATTAATAATATATGTCAAAGGATCTTTAATCTAATTTACAATCGATCTTTTGAAAGGCTTTACTCCAAACAACTTTCAAGATACATATTTCAAGCATTTGACCCAAACTTTGGTCCCTTCACAGAATTGTTTTTTATAAATTTAGATCGAGCCCGTAACTTGGAGTTAGAATCGTGCTTCTTCCATCTCGCCTTGTGAATTACACTCCTAATATTAATTATTTCCTGCACTACCGCCTCAACAACAACATTGGATTGAGGGTAATCTAGTTCTTAACTCAATATGTAATTAGCCTCGTCTAACCCATGAGAAGCTCCAATAATTCGACCATCAGATTTGCTAATAAACTCTTTTTGTGCTACATCCTTACCTCCGATTGGTCCCCTATTAACAACACCCGATTGCCACCATAATCCTTTTTCAACTCCTATGTCTCACTAATTCTCTTTCTCATAAGTTTCAACCAACAAAAGCCCACATTGTTCAACCTCCTTTTCAAATGCATTCTCACTAAGCCGCATAATATCTACATTATTATTGAAAATTTAGTTATTATTGATATTCACTTTATAATTTGAATTGTATCACATTCGTGCATTTGCTACGTTCTCTATAGAATTTGATTATGTACTTTCAAACTACTCTTTATATTATGCAATGTCTGGCAAGGAATCACGTATATTTTGTCCCCAATAATCCACCCATTGTTCCCCCTCCTCTGTGCTCTCCACATCATCTTTGGTCACTATTTTTTTGCTGTTCTTCTTGCCATTAGATCATGGCCCTTGTTACCATCATCTGAACTTTCATCCTCCAAAGCGTCCAAATCTAATGAAGCATCGTCATACTCTTTGACGATGAAGTAGTTGATTCATGATACCACCACCCTCTTTGAAAGAATTCTCCCCCATATTCCTCAACTATTTAGATTGATAACACAAGATCATTAACATGAATCTTTAGATTTTCATTAACACGAGTCTATAAGTGAACTCTTGCAAAATTTATACGTTTTCGAGAAGTCATATCATCATCTATGCACACAAAATCTTCCAATGGCTACACAATTTTCCACAAGAATGTCTATGATCAAGCATGATATGGCACGCTATACAAACAAACTCAGGTTCTCCTATTAACAGCCAACATGCGAGAATGCCACCAATTAATGGTATAAAATAGCTTAAACAAACAATCTTTATACCTAGTTATAACATCTCCAATATCATTTGGACCCTCCAATTCCAACAAAACCATATCGTCACCCATGGTAATGGCTTTAACATTTAGTATGGATTCTCGTAAAAGGAAGTCAGACACACTATTGAACTCTTCTGGCCAGTATAACCTTTCCACCACTGCCTTGCAACACCTCTCAACCGTATCCTGATCAACATGTAACTCATTGTAACATCACTATTTTTTCTTAGGTACCCATACCACATTCTTGTTTGGCCCTACAACAGCACCCTTTCCCTTCACCATATCTTCAAAGTTTTGCCCACCAACACTACCTCTCCCTTCCACCTTAGTCCCAACGCCAGTCAATGGTTTCGACACATTCTCACGCACAACATCTTGACTTTGTCTTGTAATTTTCTGTTCATTATCAAATTTGCTATATCTAGACACATTAATTATCATCTGCATGTTGCCTATCGTTATGAAACTCAATTTCTTTTCCATGTCATGGACACCTTTGACTTCCACAAATCACATGAACTCGAATATGCATCCATCCATGTCTCGTTTCTTTGGAATAAACAAATCTTCAACCTTCATACACCTCTGCAATATCTCCCAAAGCTCTGACACTCCATAATTCTTCAGAAAATTTGTAAAGAAAAATATTGGTAACGTTTATACATAATCAATGTAATTATTAAATTTTACTTGAGATTTTCTCCATTGAGCCGTCATAAATGTCACCCATCGTGAACCTCCACTCCCTCTCACACACTCTCACTTTCATTTGGTAGAACAATGCAAATCGTTCTTCCCAACACTTCTCCTTCTCTTTCGATCTCAACATTTCTATGATTCACTCCACACTCTAATTTTCCTTTGATTCTCCTGCACCTCACATCTCTAGAAAAAGATTCCTCTTTCTGCCTAAACCAAAATTGCTCATTTAATAAAGAGGTTAGTTTTAAAATCTTAGATAATGTCATTTTTAGAATTTATGGCTCTAAATAAAAAACTAATATTAACCATAGGTATCTAAGCAATGGTAAGTAAATATTGACACACAAGAATTATATATCTCTATTTTTCTATGAAAAAAATTTTATGCTTAAAAACTTTAATAAATAACTTTTGCAAGTATATGATCAAATAATAGATAATCAACAAGAAAAACAATATTTGAACGTGAATAAGAATATCAATCATTATTTACTTAAGAAAATGAGTAATTTTTTTAAATAAATTATTCATATCATATATCCATTTTCTCAATAATAAATGTGATATAAAAAAATTTAAGAGATAAACAAATAATATTCACTGCTATATAAATTAAATTATTGAAAAAAATTAACAATTACTTTGTTGACATAAATTTTTACATTGATAACTTTACTTATATTTTATCATACACATTTTGTTATTTATTGTGTTGTCAAGGTCACACCATCAAAAGGGATAATTTTTTTTAATTAAATAGGATAATAAATATATAAACTACATTAAACATGTAATTTAGGATGAGACATTTAAAAAATTACATCAATATATTTTTATTCATAATTTTATTTTAAAAAATTGTAATTCATATTATTTATCTTCACAAAAAATGATACAAATATTATATTAAAAAATTATATACAATATATAACATAAATTTATTAAAAAATATTTCTAAGAGTTTTGGTATTTTAACTTATATTTTTTATATTTATATAAATCCGTAAATAATATTTATATTTATTTTAGAAGTTAAGATACGTTAATATTATATATTAAATTTAGTCACTTAACAATTCTTTACAACAAAAGATAGATTAATATGAATTATCTTATATTATATTTTTTATTATACATACCAAATTTTATAATTTAAATATTCATAGACATGTTACTTAAAATTTAATATTTACTTATATTTTAAAAATATATTACTTATTAAAATAAAATAATATAATAAAATATTTAATAATTTTATTTTTTTATAAAATGTTATAGAATTAATTTATTTGATAAAAAATTGTATAAATATATAAATTTGACATCTATATCAATATATTTAATTTTTATTTTAATGATTAGATAAAATTATATTTTTAATTATCTAATTTATTTTTATTTTTATTTAATTTTTTAAATTTTATCTTTTAACCTTAAATATATTTTAAATAGGCTATCTTATAGTAACTGCGCTATTTGTTTATTTACATTTTTCTATTAGATAATATTTGTTTTTTTTCTGTCTTAATCATATATTTCTTTTTATTTTTCTCTTTTCTTTCCTTTTTTCTCCTCTCTTTTTTTACTTCTCGTCTTCTTTGCCACAATGGTTGTAGCATTTAAGGGTAGCGCTAGGTGGTGGTGCATAAAAAGGACGACGGTATTAGCCATGGCGACTTGTGATTAACACCCATAGATAGTGATGCCATGAGAGTCTACAGGTAGTCGGTGAATTTAGATTCTCAGTGACCACATAACAACAAAGAAGAGAAGAAAGAGGAAGAAAAAAACAAAAAAAAAGATAAAGGAAAAAAAAGTGTGCAAAAGATGACATATAAAAAGAAATTAAAACTAACAAAATTTAATAGAAAGAAAGTCTATTTGAAACTCATTTAAAAATTATATAATTTATTACTTATTTATTGGTAGGTAATTTTCACACTTATCCTTACTATTTGAGACTTGTTACTTAAAACATAATATTTTTTATTTTTAATAAATTAGTAAAATAATATATAATATTATAAAAATATTTATTAAAAATATATCAAATAAAATATAAAATTATAACATTATATATATAATGACAAAATTATAATTGGATTCTTATATTTATGGATATTTACGAAAGTTCACTTAAAATTGACGCAAATATGAGTATCAAGATATCTATATTTAAGAAATTATTAATGTAGAATGTTAATATTCTGTTATAGTGTAATGAAGATATTAAAATTTAAGAATTAAAATATTTATAAAAATAAAAAATAGGAAGTGATATAAATATTTTTAAAATATTAAAGTATTTAATGTTTACTATTTAAGAACTAAAATAAAAATTTAATCTTTTTATAATTATTAGATGTAAATTTAACTATAAGAATTTTTGCTGCAGAGGGTAGATCAATGAAGATTTGGATCCCTTAATATTGTATTATTATTATTGGCAATAAAATATTGTACTAATTTTAATTTTTTAATTTTTATATTCTTATGGATATTCGCAAATAATAGTTAAACTAAGATTTTTACCTGCTAGTATAGTGCTACTAGCTAGCGAGATACTCGTTTCACCTTGTTAACATCTATATCGTTAAGCATAAGCTAGTTCTGAAAGTGGTGGGCCCATATGTCAATCTTTGATGTCAATGAAAAATATGGGAAAAAAAATTAAATAGCGTTTAATAAAAGGAGACTCATTTAAAGTTAGAAATTAAAATAGCTGAATTCCAAAATACTTCTAAATACGTCAACATATATGATCCCAATTGTTTTATAATTTCAGAACAAATTTGGAGCGCATATTTAACTTGATAAATAATTTACCAGAATCGTAAATTCAATTTTATATATTTCTTGAAAATTCTTCTAAACATCTCTTTAAAAATTCAATGTAAAATAATAATTGTTAATTGAGAAGTTAAATATAAAAATTTAAATAGTTTAATAATTTAATTTACATATGCTTCTAATTTATCATTATTTTAACTATTAAACTTTTAATCAACTATTATTATTATTATTATTATTATTATATCTACACTCCACACTTTTTGAAATAATAAAATCCAAAATAACAAGCACTTGTTTACATTTCATGAATGATATAAAAAAACATACACAACATGATAGTCCAAGTTTTAAATTTTATATGTACCTCACTTTTAAAACTTAACCCATCACAATCATACCATGATTCATTCTCCAAACATCATGAACAGGAATTACATAGTCAATGATATAAGCGTAATAAAGGCAACACAGTATATCATATATTCATTAAAATACAGAGTCCAACTATACACGAATATTTAAAATTAAAAAAAGTGTTGTTGACTGACATGGCACGAAGAATGAGCTCATTCTGACCTCAAGAAACCGAACAACACCCATAAATAGATACATCCTAGTCTTTGGGTAGCTCCACATTAATGAAGCTCGTGGGGTCCTCCTGAACTCTTCTCTCAACCATATTCTCTTACCATTTCCATGCTTGTTTTCAGGTTCATCTCTTCTTCTACAAAACTCTCACACGCTCTATCCGTGTAATGTGTAGGCCTAATTGCAATATAGAATAAAAAAAAACCAAAAACAAGCATGGAAATGGGAGTTGATTACCCGTTGGAAAGCAAAGGAAACACTGATATAAACACAAACTCTAACGTTACACACGTTTGGTCACATATAAAATTGAATTAACAACAACTAATTAAGAAACCCAGGAATTAATCTTAGTTTATGATGAGCCATTCCTGCCAAAGATTGTCTCTTTCTGCATGCCATAGTAGCTATCTCTTGCTGTTGATGTATAATCATTCTTCTTGCGATGTGGGTGTGGGCATGTTATATATATAAACCCATAAGAATAACAAGAAAGGTGATAAAAGGTGAAGAAACAAGTATGTTTTTTGCCTATTAGAGACAAAAGGGTGGGGTCAAATTGAAATTGTACCTACGTATAGATCAAAGATACCTTAGGATATATATACTAGTATAGATGATGATCTGGGTCGGGAAATTGGTTTGATCAATTGTGAAGTGGGTTTGGTCCAGTGGGAACTCGTCTCTTCTCTGCACCATATCTTGGATCAAGATCAAGATCAACCCCATTTGCTTGGGGCGTTGGAAGTGGAGGCAAATTGTGGTGCATCCTTTGAAGGTCAATGCACAAAGAACGTGGCCTTGTGTGGGGAAAAGAATGACAATAATGAGTGTGGCGGGTGTTTCTTGATGAAGTTGGAGGTGGAATTAGAAGTCTACAATTTGCTGAGGAGACAAAGAGGAGAAAGAGACAGAGGATGATGGTGAGTGAAGAAAGAGAGGTTTTTTTCTTCATTGCTGAAGCAGAGGAGAAAGGAAGAGTAAAGTGTGATGGGCTGTGGTTGTGGTTGTGGGGTGAGAAAGTGATGGGAAAAAGAGAGGGAAGAGGAAGAAGGGGTGACATTAGCCAGGTGACTGTGTGAGTGTATTAATTAATGCGAAGCAAGAGACACATGAAGTGATATAATTGCTTTGGAAATGGGAGGGGCCTCTCTCAACTCTCCAATTAATTGTGTTTTGTCAGCAATCACCATCTCTCATCAAATGAGTCACGAAGTTTATATGTAGGTGTTGCCTTCATGGGTTCCCAGGGACTTACCCTCATCTTGGTGTGTACTTGTCTTGTGGAGACATGGAATTCAAACATTTCTTCTGCCTCCTTTCTCAATATACAAATGCCTCAAACAGGGGAATGGTATTTTAGGCCCAAAAGTTTCAATTACTAAAACGCGTTTACACTGAATTAGTTTCAGTTTTGTTTACCGAGTTGGAATTTGAACTTGATATCCACGTTGTTTAAAGCATCGCATCAATTCATTCTATTGTAAAAATCTTTGTTTCTTGTTAATTAACAGCATGATTAAAGTAATTAAAAATAACGTATAATCGGTGTCTTTAAAAATGTTTAGGGGTGAAAGTGTGTGGATTATTGTGTTTGACTCCTTGGTGTTTATGACGTAAACCTAAATTGATTTCCTAAGTTCTAAATTCTAATCCATCTTGTTGGATTGTCAAGGAAACGGAAAAAGAATTTGGTTTTGAACAAGATGTTGCAATTCTTCTGCCCATACACGGAGGAAAACAAAAGTAAAAGAAAGACGTGACAAAAACCTTCCATCATCGTTTTCTAAAAATTCCATTGTAAATTAAAACAACAAAATAGATGCAAAATTTGGGAGCATTTGAAAGCAATTATGGGTTATATTTGTTGATGGCCTAAGAAGTTAAGTAAGGTAGTATATATAATGGAATTATTTGGTGATGATAGTAGAAGATAGTGTACTTTATGAATCAAATCCTAATGCTTGTAATTGAAGTGATAATTGAAAGACGTTGGTGGAGCAAACTGTGCTACCCCACAATGGGAATGGAGTTGGCTTCAGTGTTATTGTGTCCATTCCCTTTGTAATGGGTGTGACATGAAATGATGAAAGCAAATACCCTCATCACAGGGACTCAATTTGGCTTCCAGGTACAAGTGTGCTATTCCATTGTCATCGCATCACTTTTATTGCTCTGTCTTCATATATATGATTTCCTTATTTAGTTAGTATCGTATGTGTTTTATTTTTTTTATAGTTGTGAACCACCGCAGTCTTGACTAATTTATTTTTATTAAATCTTACACTACATTCTTTTTTTATTGAATTTTTTTTCATAGTTGTGGGCAACCACAGTCTTGACTAATAATAATATAATATATATGTAATTTTCTTTTTGTAAAAGGTGGACACATTATAAAGAATGAGCATATGAGATTATATAGTTTCGGAGCACCAAAATAATCCTCTTTTTGTTGGCATAACCTAGAATATGATCTCACTCGATTACAACCAAATTTCTAACCTCTTCCTAAACCACTATTAATTGGTTAAGCTAGTTGAGTCTTTTTCACTTTGTATTTAACCTCGTTCAATGACCACTTTACTCAAACCTCTCAAATTCTCATCCATTTTTTCAATGTGTCAAAACCTTCAATTGTGCTTTTGTCGTTGCCAATTTCAATCGTTCTCTTGCCTTCAAGGATTGGTTTAATTTGAAATTAGTGACAAGTAAGGATGAAAATAAGAAAAGTTGGATTAGATTTTACATAAATAGACCTAATTTATTTAATAATTTAAAATATAAGTATGACTTATTATTTATTATAAATTTTTTATTAAGCCTAACTTAACTTTTTTAAAGTTTGTTTTGACTTATCAACTTTTTTAATAGCTTACTTCATATAAAAACATTCAATAGGTTATTAAGTTTCATTGTAAATATGTGACTAATTGAATTCAATTATGATTAATTATTCATAGGTGCAAGTGTAATAAAAGTAGATAAAATTATTTTATTTCTCTCAATTACAGAAGATATTTTATTAACCTGATAATAGAAAAAAAAGAGAGAGAAAAAAATAGTGAAAAAAAGTTCCATATAATATAAATAAGTATGCAAGAAGATGATGGATAAGACGAACTAAGTAATTGAAACGGTGTAAATGCAAATAAGTTATATGTGTACAAAATAGATCAAATAACAGTAATACAAAAAACTCTAACAAGCATAACTTTTTTCTTTAGAAGATATGTAATAAAGACATTTTTTAGCTTTAATAGAAACAATTAAGATTTCTAATTTAAAATTTTATTTATTTTAAAATTTCATTTATTCAATATAATATTATATTTTAATTTTATATAAAAATTATTTAATATAATTATAAACTTTATAAATTTTAAATAAGTCATTCTAGTAGTTTTTTTTAAGCTCAAATCTAATTTATTTAATTAATTAACTATTTTAAAAAATCTAAATTAACATATTACTCAAATAAGTCAAGTCACGTTAGATTTTAAAAAGATTAAATCATAAACTTTGTCAGATAACTTAGACCTATATTGATCTATAGTGGCAAGTTAATGAAAAAGTTTATATTTTTATTGGATATTCTTTTAATGTATGTACTAAGTTTTTTATTTTTTAATTACATGTAATTTTAATTATTTATATTTAATTGTTTTAATTTTGAAATTATTTAAATTAAGGTTGTTATTTAAAATTATTCAATTATTTTAAAAAAATATAATAGAAGTGTGGTATATTGATTTGTATAAATTAATTAAAAATTATAAATATTTAAATAAAAATACCAAATAAAATATATAATAAATTTTTTGTTTTTTATTTAATTATTATATATAATTTTCTTTATAATTTTGTACAAATTAATGATATATTATATATTTATTATGTTTTTGTTAATTATACATAAAATTTAAAGTAAAAGACTTAATTTAAATAATTAAAAAATTGAATAGACAAATATAGATAATTATAAATAAGAAAATTAAAATGACATATAAGTTAAAATATGAGAAACTAAATATGTAGTTAACTTTTTGTAAAACTTAATTACACTTTTAGTAATTTTATTTTAAATTGTGTATATTTTAATTTTTAATTTTTCGATTTGATATCTTTGTTTTTAAGATTAAGTAAATTTATTTCTTTTTCCATTTTATTTGTCTGTCTTCACAAATTGACTGAATTAGTTTATTTTAAACTTTTTTATTCAAAATTTATAAATCAAATTATTAAATTTTATATAAAATAAAATAAATTATTAATTTTTCTCTTTTTCAAACACTAATCTTACATATTATAATTTTTTTGAAATTTTGTCAATTTTCTTTCATTGAATTACAACATAAGCTTTTAAATTTCTTTCATATATCGTTTTCATCATAGTGTTCAAATAATTAAAAAAAATAAAAGAATTTGAGAATTTTATGTTAATTGTAATATTTTCTTTAAATTTTTTTAATTTAAAATTACAACACTTTTTATGATCTTGAATTTTACAGGTCTCGCTGGCTAAGATGTTGTTCACACACAATCAACGATTGTTGAAAGAACTTACACTCTCTTTGTAGTCTTGATATCAAACTCTTCTTCCAAATTTTGATTTCTTAGAGTTTTTTTTTTTTTTTCAACTTTTCCTTCATTCTTTAGTCTCTCTCACACAGAAAAGTTAGTGAACATATTTTCTTATAATAACTTTTATTTTTCTTTTTTTATATCTTTGAAGAAAGAGGGAGATTCCCTTGTACGTATTTGAACTTTTAATTATATTTCCATTATCTTTTATAATTAATAATCATCATATTAAAATTTATAATTCAAGTCAAATCTAAATTATATGAACTATTTATTAAATTTTTAAAATAATTAACATTTTATATTAAAAAAATGACAAAGAGATTAAATTCACTCAAATAGAAGGATTTAGATGAATAAAAAAAATTTAAAAAAAACTGCACATAATAAAAATTTAATTATTTTAAAATATAATAAGTTTTTGTTCTACATTTTCTTAATAATTATTTATTTTATTCTTTAATTACATTATAAAAAATTATCATATTCAAACATTTAATATTTCATTTACGTGCATTTTTGTCAATTATTAAATAAAAAATTTGAATATCCAATTTTAGCAAATGAGAAACAGTTTGTATTAGAAATGACAATGGGTAGGGTACTATAGTACCCATTTTCATACCCACATTTTAAAAAAATACTCGTACCTAGCTCCATATCTATGTGAGTATGAACATTAATCTTCGTATCGTACTCTCTTGGTACCCGTATACCCATCTTGTACCTATTACCCGCGCTTATTTGAGAAAAAAAATATTTATAAAGAAAAATATGTTTATATAATTTCATATAAGTAGCATAATAATACAAAAATTCAATATATAGTTGCCGAACAAGGTACAAACATAGATAAAAAATATAAATATTCAAAGATCACAAGTGCTAAATGTATCTTAATATAATAATTTTCTAAACTAAAATTCTTAGAAACAATAAGTCAAACTAAACACATAAGTTATTTGTCAACAATAACTCTATCTTGTGTAAGATTCGATCAATCGGTAATGTCAAAACGATAACGAAATAGATCTGCACAGTAGGTGGCCCTTCGTGTGAACCTCTTGTGACGGCATTGACAACTAACTCTAATGAATAACCTTTCATAATTGTTAGATTTTAATGAGTCAGACATTGAGAATGAGAATAGATACATAAAATATTTTTTTTAACTTTTGAATTTGAAATTGTAATAAAAATAATAGATTTAATTAAAATAATATAATATAATATATATATATATATATATATATATTATATTAATACTAATATTTTCAACTCATATATTATACAAAAATATTTTATCAAAAATATAAATTTAAAAAAAATTATTTTAATGAATTAAATATTTATAATATATATAAATTTTAA